GATTTTTTTGCGGATATGCCCATGTCACTTAGGGGCAAGCTCGTCATTGGCTACAATGGGTTTGGTTTCATAAAGTACACATATATTCCACAATCATGGGGTTGGAATATGTATATAGCTATACTTTGAGTATTGGATAAAACACACACTCACTGCCTCAGTGAGATTCATAATCTGTGACTTTTATAATACAAGAACATAAATATGTTTACACTGCTATTCAACTTACGTATAGTGGAGAAGCACAACGTCACCGTCAGGCACTCCTATCTTTAGACAGCATCTGAGGTTCAAAACACAAGACTTGGCACCAGTCCAGATTTCATCTGGACCGCTCTGATGGTCGTGCAAAGGTTTACAGGCTTCCGAGAGAACGATTAGCGACGCTTGCGTTACTCAACGTCGTCAGTTTGGGGGTGGAAGTGTAATGGTATGGGGTGGCATCACAACTTATGGGAGAACACAACTTATTATTGTTAATGGCAGTTTGAATGGTGTGCACTAATTTACCTGGACGACATCGTCCGAGATCGTGTTCCACCCTTGGTGTAAATGCAGGCACCTAACGTCACATTGCAGCAGGATAATGCCCGTCCACATGTTGCACATATTGTCACAGTTGACCTTTTGATGCAGCATAACATTCCTGTACTAACAAGGACGTAACTTGATTATGACTCATACCGAAACGGTATTCCAAATTTATAACGAATTTTACCCAACTATTCTAGACTGGTTTGAGTTGCTGTTGAATATGCATGGGTAAAACGTCCGCCCATAACACTTGCCACGATTTTATGTTTTTAAACTCATAACCCAGGCTAAAAGTAATAAAAAAATAATTTATGTAGGTTAGGTTGACTTTTACCTAAATCAGGCATAATTTTAGGCAGGGGTTATGGGCGGAAATTTTACCCGCCTTTCTACTCATTTAGGGAGTTTAATTTGCGTAGACACGCTCGCAGTTATAATACAATCCTTGACTATTTCCGAACTGAAGGATGAGGAAATATTGCACCATAAATAGTCAAAGTGTGCATGTTCGCGCGTTTCTTAAGTCTGTCCATTTGCCAAAGGTCAAACCCCTGTTTATTTCACTGACTTTGCTCAGTTTGCCTAATTGACTAAATGGTTGTATTTTTCTGGATATACCGCTTATGGCATCAGGTAATGTCCACAGCAAAAGATTTCACTATAACACGATTCCTTCTATGTGAGGCCTATGATGTATCAGTCAAGCCTTGAGACATGACGTACCATCAATGACATGAAGTACCATCAATGACATGACGTACCATCAATGGCATGAAGTATCATCAATGACATGACGTACCATCAATGACATGAAGTACCATCAATGACATGACGTACCATCAATGACATGACGTACCATCAATGACATGAAGTACCATAAATGACATGACGTCCCATCAATGACATGACGTACCATCAATGACATGAAGTACCACCAATGACATGAAGTATCATCAATGACATGACGTACCATCTGTGACATGACGTACCATCAATGACAGGATGTACCATCTGTGACATGACGTACCATCAATGACATGAAGTACCATCAATGACATGACGTACCATCTGTGACATGACGTACCATCTGTGACATGTTGTACCATCTGTGACAGGATGTACCATCTGTGCTATGATGTACCATCTGTGTCATGCTGTACCATCTGACATGATGTGGGGCGGTTGGGTAGCCTAGTGGTTAAAGCGTTTGCTCGTCACACGGAAGACCGGGGTTCGATTCCCGACATGGGTACCATGTGTGAAGCCCATTTCTGGTGTTCCCTGCCTTGATATTGCTGGAATATTACTAAAAGCGGCGTAAAACCATACTCACTCACTCACTCTGACATGATGTACCATCTGTGACATGATGTACCACTTTGTGACAGGATGTACGATCTGTGTCATGATGTACCATCTGTGTCATGATCTACCATCTGTGACAGGATGTACCACTTCGTGACAGGATGTACCATCTGTGTCATGATCTACCATCTGACATGATGTACCATCTGTATCATGATGTACCATCCGTGTCATGATGTACCATCTGTGTCATGATCTACCATCTGACATGATGTACCATCTGTATCATGATGTACCATCTGACATGATGTACCTCTTTGAGACACGATGTACCATCTGTGCTATGCTGTACCATCTGACATGATGTACCATCTGACATGATGTACCATCTGTGACATGATGTACAATCTTACACATGATGCACCATCTGTGACACGCTGTACCATCTGTGACACGATGTACAATCTGGCATGATGTACCATCAGACATAATGTACCATCTGTGACATGATCCACCACTTTGTGAGATGATGCACCATCTGTGACATGATGTACCATCTGTGACAGGATGTACCATCTGTGACTTGATGTACCATCTGTGTCATGATTTACCATCTGTATCATCATCTACCATCTGACAGGATGTACCATCTGTGTCATCATCTACCATCTGTGTCATGATTTACCATCTGACAGGATGTACCATCTGTGAAATGCTGTACCATCTGACATGATGTACCATCTGTGTCATGATCTACCATCTGACATGATGTACCATCTGTATCATGATGTACCATCTGTATCATGGTGTACCATCTGTGACAGGATGTGCCACTTTGTGACATGTGATATGATGTACTATCTTGACATGATGTAACATCTGTGACATGATGTACTACTTTGAGACACGATGTACCATCTGTGACAGGATGTACCATCTGTGACATGCTGTGCAATCTGTGACATGATGCACCATCTGGGACATGATGCACCATCTGTGACATGCTGTACCATCTGTGTCATGATCTACCATCTGACATGATGTACCATCTGTGACAGGATGTACCACTTTGTGACAGGATGTACCATCTTTGACAGGATGTACCATCTGTGACATGCTGTACCATCTGTGACAGGATGTACCATCTGTGTCATGATCTACCATCTGACATGATGTACCATCTGTATCATGATGTACCAACTGTGACAGGATGTACAACTTTGTGACAGGATGTACCATCCGTGATATGATGTACCATCTGTGACATGATGTACCATATGTGACATGATGTACCATCTGTGACATGATGTACCATCTGTGTCATGATCTACCATCTGACATGATGTACCATCTGTATCATGATGTACCATCTGTGACAGGACGTACCACTTTGTGACAGGATGTGCCATCTGTGACAGGATGTACCATCTGTGACATGATGTACCATCTGTGACAGGATGTACCATCTGTGTCATGATCTACCATCTGACATGATGTACCATCTGTATCATGATGTACCATCTGTGACATGATGTACCATCTGTGACAGGATGTACCACTTTGTGACAGGATGTACCATCCGTGATATGATGTACCATCTGTGACATGATGTACCATATGTGACATGATGTACCATCTGACATGATGTACCATCTGTGTCATGATCTACCATCTGACATGATGTACCATCTGTATCATGATGTACCATCTGTGACAGGATGTACCACTTTGTGACAGGATGTACCATCTGTGATATGATGTACCATCTGTGACATGATGTACCATCTGTGACATGATCTACCATCTGACATGATGAACCATCTGTGTCATGATCTACCATCTGACATGATGTACCATCTGTATCATGATGTACCATATGTGACAGGATGTACCATTTTGTGACAGGATGTACCATCTGTGCCATGCTGTACCATCTGACATGATGTACCATCTGTGACAGGATGTACCACTTTGTGACAGGATGTACCATTTGTGCCATGTTGTACCATCTGTGACAGGATTACCATCTGTCATGATCTACCATCTGACCTGATGTACCATCTGTATCATGATGTACCATCTGTGACAGGACGTACCACTTTGTGACAGGATGTACCATCTGTGACATGGTGTACCATCTTGACATGCTTTGCCATCTGTGACATGGTGTACCATCTGTGACATGAGTGAGTGAGTGAGTGAGTATTGTTTTACGCCGCTTTTTGCAATATTCCAGCAATATCACGGCGGGGGACACCAGAAATGGGCATACATTGTACCCATGTCGGAAATCGAACCCGGGTCTTCGGCGTGACGAGCGATCGCTTTAACCACTAGGCTACCCGACCGCCCCTGTGACATGATGTACCACTTTGTGATATGATGTACCATCTGTGACCTGATGTACCATCTGTGACAGGATGTACCACTTTGTGACAGGATGTACCATCTGTGATATGATGTACCATCTGTGACATGATGTACCATCTGACATGATGAACCATCTGTGTCATGATCTACCATCTGACATGATGTACCATCTATATCATGATGTACCATCTGTGACATGGTGTACCATCTTGACAACCTGTACCATCTGTGACAGGATGTACCACTTTGTGACAGGATGTACCATCTGTGCCATGCTGTACCATCTGACATGCTGTACCATCTGTGACAGGATGTACCATCTGTGTCATGATCTACCATCTGACATGCTGTACCATCTGTGACATGCTGTACCATCTGTGACAGGATGTACCATCTGACAGGATGTACCATCTGCGACATGATGTACCATCTGACATGATGTACCATCTGTGACAGGATGTACCACTTTGTGACAGGATGTACCATCTGTGACATGATATATGATCTGTGACATGATGTCTTGTTAGTTGTTAAACGCCGCACTCAGCAATTTTCCAGCTATATGACAGCGGTCTGTAAATAATAGAGTCAATCCATGAGTCAATCAGGATTAATATCATGAGCATCGATCCACGCAATTGGGATACAATGACATGAATCAACCAAGTCAGCAAGCCTGACCACCTGATCCCTTAATCGCCTCTTACAACAAGCACAGTTGCCTTTAACGACAAGCATGGGTTGCTGAAGACCTATTCTACCACAGAATACCACTACTAGAACACAGAAACTATTCATATCAACTTTTTATTGCGTACAATAGCACCACAATTTCTTAAGTACCCATCATGTCTTCTTCCCCCCCCACCCCCAATATTTCAGTTCTTATGACAAAGCAGTAATGTCAACTTCACCAAATCCTCTACAAATTGTGAAAATTAAAGCTTAGTCTGGAAAACATTTAGCCTCGGATGCTAAAAATTGACAGCCAAACAAACAAAATGCCTTTCTTTCTGGTATACACTGGTATGTGTCAGATTTGTTGTCTTCAAGTTTTGTAACTTTAATGATATCAAAACATTTTCCATTGCAACACACTTTCAATAAAACAAAATAATTTCTGATATTTGGAATATGACAACAACCAAGACAAAGTAAAAATGGCAGTGATTGGCAGAAACAATATTTTGTGGGTTTGGGTCTCATAAAGCTGCATATATAAATGACTAAATACTAAAAACCAATACATGTTGTTTCTCATTATCACATATCACATTCAGATAAAATATGTATATTTGAATTGTAATGGCACTATAAAAAATTCTTCATTTGGACCATGGCATCTCAAAGAAGGAGACCGTTACTATATTTCTAGGTATGTAATGGCACTATGAAAAATTCTTCATTTGGACCATGGCATCTCAAAGAAGGAGACTGTTACCATATTTCTAGGTATGTAATGGCACTATAAAAAATTCTTCATTTGGACCATGGCGTCTCAAAGAAGGAGACTGTTACCATATTTCTAGGTATGTAATGGCACTATAAAAAAATTCTTCATTTGGACCATACGGCATCTCAAAGAAGGAGACTGTTACCATATTTCTAGGTATGTAATGGCAATATGAAAAGTTCTTCATTTGGACCATGGCATCTCAAAGAAGGAGACTGTTACCATATTTCTAGGTATGAAATGGCACTATAAAAAATTCTTCCTTTGGACCATGGCATCTCTAAGAAGGAGACTTTTACCATATTTCTAGGTATGGCAGCAGAACCATTCCTCAAAATAATCTATAATGTTATCAAAATCTTCATTTGCAAAGATTCTTATTGCAAGATTTCCTTAATTTCATATAAAAATATGTACCTTTATTTGTTTTGATCTAAAACGAAAGTCACCATTACCACAAACATTCAAGGTTTTTCAGAGTCATTAAAATAATGCGTAAATTAAAAACAAGATTTAAAACCTAAATCAAATGGGCTTGTTTATGTAGACAACCAAAATCAAAGGGCTTGTTTATTTAGACATTAAATTCTTATCTTCTTAACTACATCAGCACTTAAATTGCCATTTGCAGACAAAGATTGTATATAAGTGTTCATTTTAAAATCATTTAACAAAACAACCAACAAATATCACATCATCATTTAGCAACAAAACATAACCATGGCAACCAATGAAAGACCTAGTCTAAACGTCTTTATATGTACAAAATATACACTACTCAACAAGTTTCTACTAAAAAACAATGATAAACAGTGTACAAGATATTTGTGAATATCTGCTTTGAAAACAAATTAAATTTGGTGCAGAAAAACAATTTTAAAAAACACAAATTAAATTTCATAGATTCAGAAAGTTTCTTGCAAAAGAAAATTAAGGCATAGTGTGTGTGTAACTCGTTTCCTTTTTTTTTAAACAAAGTGACAGTATGAGATTCAAGAATATTCCACTGAGCATGCTGAGGTGATGCTGACAAAAATGATGTTCATTAAAAATTCTAATAAAAGTACAAGTGATTGTATCAAGAAGAAAGATTATCTATGTACATGAATAAAAGGTAGGTAAAAGATAACTTCATGTAGGCAGTTGTATCCAAATGGTTCTTCAAAGTAGTTTAAAATGGTTCAAAATACATTTGTATCAAAAGCCTATCTACCGTACATTAGAAACAGGGTTGTATCAAAAAGCCCACAAACGTGCTTAGTGGTGATGAGTTAAAGGTGTTTTTTTTTGTGCATACACAGAGCACTATGGTATTCTTTTCTTCTGAAATAAGATTTTCCAAGACTTGCTGTCATAAATCACATTACACTACCAAATTGACAGATAACCTTCAAATTCAATCATCTAGCAACACCATTTTTGCATAAAGACTAAAAGCCTTAGTCGACTGTCAGTGTTCTAAATCCATTTACAACAAGCAATAACTAACCAACTTATTGTCTTAAAAATTATCAATGTACAGTAAACTTGTGGCCACATTTCAGTACACCACTTCCTTATTTGGCAAACATCCATCTTCATTCAGTCAAGCACGGCATAATTGTCCAATCACAGTCAGTTTATTTACAGTTCAAGCAAGGCGATCAGTCTTCACGTTTTCTCTTCAAGGGAGATGATTCCGAGAATCGAGAAGCCTTTACTTTATTCCGGTGTTGAGCCAAAATTTTCCTTTCGGCTGTGATTCCATTTTCAAGAATCTGGGACTCAGGAGTGGATTTCTTTTCCCCTGTTCCTTGGTTGCCATGGTTTCCAGGTGAAGTGACAAGGAGATGTGTTAGCATGTTGTCGTCGTCCATGGCAACGCCATGGTAACCGCTATACAAGATCAGAGCTGCTTGAATGGACAGAACCCTTTCATGATTTTTTCGGTCTGCAAACACATCCCAGTAGATGCTGTGCTCCCAGATGTGTTTGATGAAGCACACCTTGCTCTTGTACAGCTTCCCTGTAAAAGGTATATTCCTGGTTTATTTAACTGATGCTGCATAATTTAAATACACATTTCATAATAATCAGCTGATAATTGTATTTCATACAACACATATCTAAGTGATTTCTTGTTCCATTTTGTCTTAGTTGACACTGGTACCAATACATCACCATTAAATACTAGGGCTGGGATGGGTAACTCGGGTACCCGGGTCAGGTGGGTACTGAGTAGGACCCAGGTACCCACAGGACTACCTGGACTCGTGGTTAGTCACGTGATAAATTGTCTAATGACTAAAATTATCTGGAACCCTATGGTTACACTACAAGTCAATAATGTTCGCGTTTTCTTCTGACTATGCACCCATTCCTTCTGATTTTTCATATGGTTGAATAAAGATATAACTTAAGTCAACTTCAGAGTATGCATGACCAGTTTGTTTAATACATCTATCTATATATACGTTTTGCCAGGACTATGCTAAAAAAAGTTCCCAATCGGACATTTTGAGATCTCCTGAAACCTAGAGTGGGTACCCGGGTAGGATCGGTAATAGAGGGGCGGGTACCAGGGTAGTGAATTTGGACTCGTCCCAGCCCTATTAAATACCTAAAAACTATTCTTCAAAATGTACAAAAACAAGATTGAACTCAAAACAACAATACTTGTTAATATAAATCGGAGCACATCTAGAATTCAGTACCACAACTTCTATAACAAAATGGAGTTCAACGTTGATAATAATAATTTCAGTTTGTTACTGATCATAACATAACCACGTGTAGACTGTGTACAAATGCCACGGATTGTGAATATCACGTGGTCCTTTTATGAATGAGCACCGCTTGTGACCTAGTTCTATTTTAAGAACAGTCGACCTGGCGATACCGACAACAGGACATCGTGCCCCGGGCGTATTCAACAACAAATATTCTTCTGAATAGAATCACATATACAGTAAAAGTTGTAACTGACTTTAAACAATAACCTGACAGTGTCTGCAACTAGGGGTTTTAGTTGAAAAATAGTTCGGTCAAATCGAAATATTAAGTCTGTCAACAAACAAAACGAAGTGTCATTTGATCCAGTAAGTTCGAGATTATCAGAAATTAACAAGAACGAGTTTTGTCGTCTATAAGTTACAGTTGGGTCGCATTTAGTCAAATAACTACACTGGTAAAAGTTACGTATAGCTAGATCTAGGCAAACATAATACGATCGATCAAAAGTTTGACAACCAGGAAAAAACTTTCACTTGGCCTACACCGCGAACAAGACAGGTGAACAACTTTTGTTTTGACAACTTCGATAATATCCTCTAAACCATAATCGTTAGTGGCAAACTTACCGCACATACTGCAGTTGATCCCGCCGTCATAATCGTCGTATTCCTTCAGTACTGAGATAACTCCTTCCAACTCCAGGCACTTCGGGCCGCTGCCATTCACATCATAATGCTTGGAGCCGTCCAGGCGTTGGCGTTTTGGTCTCGTGCAGAAATCAAAGTGTTCTTCTCCGCTCAATCCAGTTGACATCATTCTTGCTGCTCTGAATTTCGCGTTTCATAGAATTTCCAGTGTCGTTCGTTTACTGTTATGTTCCTGGGATTGTATACATACAGATACCATGCGCTTGACGTGACCTCGCATTGTAACCAATCACAGCGCTCAGTTATGACCTCCAACGTAGCACGTGACAAATAACGCGGGAAATATAGCGTGCAAGACGCATGCGTAGAGCACTAGTTCGCGACTTTCCCGCGAAATATCGATTCTCGAATGCCATGTGTGTTTGTCTGTCAAGGACGTATGTACATCACCTGTGTCATCACCTTGATCGGCTATTTTTAGTATTTCTGTTTACGAACAAAGACAACTACCAAAACACAAAGAAGGACTTGTCCTGTTATAAAAATAAGTAATTTATGCAATATACATATCAACTACTTGAGACAATCATTTCTTTTGGATTGTTCATAACGACATAAGTAACACATGACGTGCAAAAAGATCCCCACAACACGTGCTCAGTAGATCATTATGACATTTGACGGAACATATTATTTTAAATCGGTGTCCTGCGTATATCTATATTTTTGTTCATGCCTTTCAGAGTCCACATAAACACGTCCAGATACATATATATACGTACATACTGAAATACCTACATCCTGTGAGGTTAACCTTCAAAATCTTCACAAATTAGCACAATGCGTCACCCTGCCAAAAACTACACCCCTAAAAAGGCTTTAAGAACATCCAGACATAGTTGTAACTGTAACTGGATTTGATGAATAACAGTAATCATTCAGGTCTTTGTGACATGCACAGTGAACACTTTGTTCCGCAATACCCTGTTATATTACATATCTATGATACATCGTTAGGAGTGTGAGGGGGTAGTCGGGTAGCCTAGTGGTTAAAGCGTTCGCTCGTCACGCCGAAGACCAGGGTTCGATTCCCGACATGGGTACAATGTGTGAAGCCCATTTCTGGTGTCCCCCGCCGTGATATTGCTGGAATATTGCTAAAAGCGGCGTAAAACCATACTCACTCACTAGGAGTGTGAGGTCTTTGAAAGGCATTTAGAAGTGATACACTCCCGTTTGTTATTTGTATTTTCCAGTGCAAACACCGGTCGACCATCTTTAACATGTGAGCGATAGTAATAACTATACCACAAATGCAACGCACAACCGATTCCATTCATTGCATATGAAACAATTCTCTTCAAATATATTTATACTGTACTTTGTTGAATGCACATATTTGGTAATTAACACCGAAACGATTTGAAATAGCTTCAGCTGAACATGGGGGGGGGGGGGGGGGGCTGCGGAACCCTCACAAGTATCACTCGTGCTGTGAAGAACCTCCCCAAGTTGAAACAAAATAACAAAACTTCATGTTTATGGGTCGTGTAACGCGATTGTGTATCACAGACACAATGCACCGATATTTGTGGCGGAAAAAAAGACGGCAGCAGTGAAAAGGCAGCAGCCTAGAGGGTGATGATTATCAGGTAATGTTACCAATATGCTGTAAGGGCAGCATGCTACATTGCTCTCGTTCAAAAAAGGGTCTCGTTTATAGTTACATGCAGGTAATTGGATACAGTGTTATTTGGGGGATGCTGGAGGGTTTTAAGTAAATTTCGAATTATCGGATATAGACGGGGATGTGTTTAGTCATGCCAATAGCGGCGCATGCATTATATATAGCCTTTAACAGTGTTGCCATATATATAAATATACTGGTTTGTCGATATATAAATGACAAGATGTTTGAAGAACATATTTGAACTAAACCTGCAGTGGATGAATCAGCTGTCGTTCCTATATGAGATGAAATAATTGGTATTGTACATACACACCCACTGAGGGTCGGGTGCAAAATAAAGGCATAAAATAGAAAACAACAACATTACTTTATGCATTATAATAACGATAATAGAAATAATGTACTGAAAGTAATGCCACTGTTGTGGAATCTGAAACATTTCAAACATGATGTGCACTGAACGAAGGTGAGCATTTTGGTAAGGGGTTCACCGCATGTGATTTGGCTTCGGTAGTAACTGTTTCACCTCCTGAATAGTGTATATAAATAGCATATACCTGGGATAATATGACCTACAAGAGAGAGAGAGAGAGAGAGGGGGGGGGGGGGGGTAGAGAAAGAGAGAGAGAGGGGGTAGAGAGAGGGGGGGGGGGGGGGGAGAGAGAGAGAGAGAGAGAGCGTGCAGCGAAGGGGATGATGAGCTAATACTCCCTGAACATGCATTGTTTCCTCTACCGCCCAGCCCTTACAGTAATACTACAGCTATCATGCAATGAAGTAAGTCTACATTTTCTACAGGTCTATAGGTTCTGCAACTCCGATCTCACTGGTGTCTTTTTTTCAATTTAAACACATGTAGTTGCTTGTTTCTGTCACAATTATATATTTTCTAAGCTTTAGCCTAGTTCTTTCCGATGCTTTGACTGTTCTGAAACGGGTCTGAAACGACATAAAGTATCACAAGAAAAATGTAGATGATGAACCTGGAGTGTTTCTGATCAAGAGTCGGAAGCCTTGTAACACATTGTGCTGACACCTTTATCAAGTATGTCATCACGGACACTTAATTCTATCCTTAGTGGCGACAGTTAAAGGTTTTCCTGTCATTAGATAATCTCCGAGGCTCTCTCTTCCCCTCTTGAACTCCGATGCTGACCTCGGCAAAGAAAGGGGCACCATCCCCAAACGTTGCCACCATATCCGCATTGGTGGCTGTTGGAGTTAGCCCTTCAGATGGGAATACCTGGTGACAGAGCGGAACATAGTTTTGTCTATGTTCATTAACAGAGAATAACTAGTCCCTTTGATGCCTGCAGAAATATTCTCATTGGTTGTGTATTTGGTTCATGTGCAACCCGTAAGAATGGGGAGTATTGTACATATACATGCAAACTGTTAAGGGTGTAGACTCTACTTCGTAGTTATATGCTCAGGATGATCAGCCACCCCTCGTATAGCATACCTTAGACATTTATAAAAAATAAGATCAATTCCATATCCTTAGGACAGTTGGAGGGTACACGAATTTTATTTTTTAATTAGGGTCGTATCGTAAGTACAATCCTTTCAAATAGGTCAAATTATAAAAATTACTGGTTTCCAGTATGCAGTCACAGAGGTAAGACCCCAAGGATCTACAAAATGTATTGGGAACTTGGGGAAACGTTTTGCGCACACTTCGACCGGCTTAGTATAGATTTTTTACTCTTCCTCCCATTTTAGATATTTACAAAAAGTAGTTTGTAATATCCTTCAACAAGTCTAAGATGGACTGATAAGTTATGCTATATGCCATGGGCTTTCTGCTACCCAGGGCGGAAGCCCATTTTATGTAACAGGTACTTCTTTTTATAAACAAGAAAAAAAGTGCATAGAAGTTTTGGAAATGGAAAACAAAGAAGGGGCGGTGCTTAACATTTTTCGAGATGCATACTGTCAATTATTGCATTTACAACTTATGCATGGCCTCGGTCAATATCAGTTACATGGGTCCGTAAAACATGATAATGCCCTCATAAATGGTCAATAATTGATACACGCCCTGCCCCATGCAAAATCTGACTGATACCATGCATATAATTCTCGAAAAATAACGACACACTTTGAATATATGTAGCCAGCATTTTTGTTCCGTGATTTTGATGTAACTTGTCTTATTAAAAAAAAATCGGATAAACATCTGGTTGTTTAACTGTTATGTTTACTGTTGTTTTACGTCGATTGTAGCAATACCACAGCAGGGGAACTCCCAAACTAGGATCCGCATTCATGCTATATGATATACCCAATGTCGAAACAAAAGGCACCACCTAAATCTCCCGACGTTGGTAAACACGTTTCTTATTCATGTTTCCTATATAACGAGTGCCTCCTTATAGTTAACACAATAAAATCATTTTTCACTGATTGTTAAGTGTCAATAGATATGAAGTAGTTGTCATTCTAAACGAGGTAAGGTCCGCATCCCACCGGCTCTAATGTCTGCCCTTGATCAAGCCCATGTTGTTCAAAGCACTTCAGTAACTTAAACTTAACGTTGCCTGTACTACATTACATTTCCACATAAATCAAAAAGTGTATAATCATTATGCCAACCCTGTTATCGTGTTCAAATACCGTGCTTCAATTACAAATAACTATATAGCTGATTTATTAATACATAAAGACGCTGTGAAAATTGTCAACCTTTTCTATGAGGCGATTAACTCGATACGGCTCACAAACCCGACAAAAACCAACAAACACGGAAACTGGGTCCGATGAACAGGCTCTGAAGTATTACGTTTCCATGGCGATTGAAAATAGAATAAAGTGTTTACTTTTGCAAAATTGTTGTTCAGATTGTATGGTACGCGTGAATAGTTAACATTATTGGTGTCAGTTGGTGCACTGAATTGTTCATTCAACGAGGAATCGATATAAGACTCTGAAAGTGTTTAGGGGCGGTCGGGTAGCCTAGTGGTTAAAGCGTTCGCTCGTCACGCCGAAGACCCGGGTTCGATTCCCGACATGGGTACAATGTGTGAAGCCCATTTCTGGTGTCCCCCGCCGTGATATTGCTGGAATATTGCTAAAAAGCGGCGTGAAACCATACTCACTCACTCTCTGAAAGTGTTTATATGATACCATCAGCTGGGGATGCATGCATGGGTTGTATTTTCCGAAGTACATGTGTTTGGAACGAGTTTGAGATTTGTGGGTGGCAACCTTTTTGGATTTAGGGAGCAAGTATACCCTTTCGGGTCGCGTTCTAACTGCATCATTCACTTGGTGCAGGTATTTTCATATAGCTTGTCGCAATACATCGTCAATACTTCACAACAGCTGATCACGGTCGCAATACACCGTATTTCCTCTTTTATACCGTGAGCTCCAATCATGAATATACGCCAGCCTTAAATTAACGCTCATACGCTCTGTCTCAAAAACAGAAGCCGGGCCTCTATTTGACGCCAGATCTCTTATACTGTGTAGTGGGGGAACGGGTGGCCCAGTCGTCTAAGGCGCCGCGATTCGCTGTGCGGAGTTGCGTCCCTTGGGCACGCCAGAAACCTATGATTATGGGTTGGAATCCCGGTTCGCCCGATGATGTTTTGTCAGCACCATACCCGTGCTCCTGGGTTTCACCGAAGTGGTAAACGTCTGATACCTGCATCACTTCGCGCTTTCCTCCCACATTAAGCTGACACGCCGTGATATAACTGGAATACTGTTAAAAGCGGCGCTAAACCCAACTCACTCACTATACTGTGAAGTGTTGGTGATTTATAATGATCGTTTTACCCTTGGCTTGATTGTAGAATTTAAGATTCGGTAAGGTAGTGAGTTGCCACTGTGCCTGCATTAAACAGTATAGACGCCGAGTCAACGGCTACCGCGAAATTAATAGAGGACTGAGCGTCTACTAGAGGAGGTGAGGTGAAATGGGGTTTAACGTCGCGTCCAAGATTATTGCACTTATATAGCGACGTGCATGCACGTGTATATGTGTGTGTGTGGCTGCTTGTACTAGTCCGGACTGATGCCGATTTATAGTGCTAGCACACTGAGATACCATGTCGCAGTTTAACATGAATACCCCACTCAGACACAGTATACTGACTCCGAGCCGACCAGTCCTTGTTTTAGCCCCTTAATGCCGAGCGCCAGACAGGGTAACAACAAGTACCATCTTTTAACGTCTTTTGGTATGACGCGGCTGGGGATCGAACCCCGGACCTTCCGCTCTCCGGGCGGACGCTCTACCATTAGACCACGGAGGCGGTGTCTAATAGAGGAAATACGGTAGCTTGAAATGTTGAGACGAAACATTTACCCATAACAAAAAATAACAGCGTGTGATTTAGTTGACGTCACAAACAACGCGTTAACCATTCTTTCGTTTTACTCCAAACTGGATCCCCATCAAACAATGAAATATCTGCCGTTTGTCCCATATTGGTTAGTCTTGGTTTTAAAAAACATTCCACTAACAAGCTGCTAACAGTTACTAACATGATTGAATTAACGGATCGCTTCAATATAATTCCGTCAACAAATAGAGGCATGTTTATGACCCCTCCTGTAGTCATACTGACACTCCATCGGTGTGAGGGGGACGAACGCTACCTCCTTCAAACGTGATGTTCAGCAATATCCCCGCTAATCGGTCTACTGACACTGTTTACATTGACACCACGCTTGTCTGTGGAGGCTTTCGGTCTGATCTCAAGTCAACTGCTTTGCCTGATGTACCGTGTCAGTCGCACGCCATGTTTAACAAGAGTGACTATCGGCTGAGGTGAGAGTTTGTCCTTGATTGAAGGAATACCTAACATGCGAGTGTCGGGCCCTGGTTCAACATGACTCGATCGCCCTACACACAGAGCTAGCGTCTTTGCGTCGGATTCAGAGCTGACGTGATACACATGTTGCAGAAGAATTGTTGCTATAAACGCAACATGACGTAATTCGTTATAATAGGAAAACCTTTCTCCTCGTTCTTCTTCCACAAGTTAGTGTAGATAATTAACTAGCCTTGCTCCAAGGCTGTACTGAATGGTAAGTCCATGGATATATAGTAGCTCTGTCCTTATCATCGGCATAGGGACAAGTTTTTGTTATGATTTATATAATCATGGAATTAATATTGAATCTAATAATCATTTCCTCGTGTTAATTCTTTTCACTGTGCCTGAATGTATTGAACTTTTTGAAATTTTAATGTTCCAAAAATAAAAATAAAATTGCATTTTAGTGTTTTGAAGTAGGATACTTGAAGTGGAACAACTGTCAGTTTAGAATACCTTAAACGTATAGCCTGCATAGACCAGGATCAGTTTGCATAATTTAACAGTACTTATGATATTCACAGCGCTAAGAGTGCTTTTTTCAATAGGCCCTAATCTTTATAGCTGTATCATCAGTGCAATATTGTTAAAGTGTCAAGAGTTGTCTCCCTTCTAGGTCCTCACTGACAACAAACTGTCAATAATATAGTTACACATTTATTGACATTTTCAATATACATGTAACACACACACACCCTTGCACGTCCACAACAATCATTCTGTCAATATGGCCAGCACATGTACAACTATTTCAACTTCTCCTTAACTCAAATGCTATGTAAAGAGTATAGAAGAGTTTATCATGTATCATGTATCATGTATACCTCCTACTGAGGCATTCACTAAAGTATATGAATGAATGGAAAATATGGAGGAACAATTTTGCCGCTGTGGCTTCTCTCATCCTTTTCTTGTGGTAGGTTATTATTATATACTACTCAAAAGAAGTTAAGGAACACCCGATTATTTCATATTACTATAGTTCATATATCATGGCATGACAAATTAACTATAGTAATATGAAAGAAAGAGGTTTTCCTTAACTACTTTTGAGTAGTATACTTTACACATTCTATAATCAACTTAAGGGTGTTGGTTGCTGCAATTAACCATATAGCTGCATCAGCAACATTTGTGTCCAACTTGAGGGTTTTAAATCTCTGATTCATCTAACTTATATTCCAGGGCCTTGGCCTTCCTCCCACATCAGCAGTGAATAAAGTGAGTGAGTTTTACGTCACTTTTAGCAATATTCAAGCAATATCACGGCGGGGGGCACCAGAAATGGGCTTCACTCATTGTACCCATGTGGGGAATCGAACCCGGGTCTTCGGCGTGAAACCACTAGGCTACCCCACCGCCCTTAGCAGTGAATACAACTTGTTATACAACAACAATGATTCCTCAATGAAGTAATATAGCACTTTCTTCCAATCCGAGTGTCTAGTATTGAGATGCTGGCCACCTCACTCCTTGATGACCTTCCATGTGTTGTCTGCCTGGACTGTTGCGTTGGCCGGACCCAGGAACGACACTCCCCTTGCTCCAGACTTGTTCAGCAAGTACCTGAAAAGAATATGAAGTAACTTAAAAATACATTTGTCCTGATTAATTTTCCATTAATCTGCATCTTACTGGTACCTTTTAATTCTGATTTTAGTGTTTCCAAATTCAACCTCCAAATGCTGTTGGTATAATGAATGCATGCGTGCTGATCCCCAATGAAAATTGTTTATAAACACCACCTCCATCTATTCCAGATAAGCCCTAGTAATTCTGATGTAATGGGAAAGTAGATAATGTAACAAACAGCCATATTGCCATATTGACGGAGAGCCTTTCAGTAAACTGGATAACAGAAAACACGGTTATTCTATCATGATTTTTATGCTTCCTTTGTCTGGACAATGACATCAGCATTGAGATTGATAGACGTGTGTCACCATTTAATGTTCTTGGCATTTTTGTTTTACGGCGATCATCATTTCGACCATGGGTAAAGAGTTTCGAGCACATGGACCCTGGTGTCTAATCATTGAAACGGTAAATGAAATTCCATGGCATTTACTATTTCATCTGAGCTATGCTCATGTCAATCCTGTCTACTTTCCCCGATTCCACCTTACTTGTTCGCCACTGTCGTAACGTCCTTCCTGGACACAGCGAACAGCTGATCTCGCATGGCTTGTCTCATGTCATCCGTGATGCTGTTGATGAACACAAGCGTCCCCCGGTCTCCAGGCGGCACTGGCTTGTCAACCTGGCAACATACATACAGTGATGTACATCCATCTGTCTGCCTCAAAATTATAAAGGAAATCTCCTAGCTGTCAAGTCAGAAAATTAATAGCTTGGTAGTTCAAGATATTTACAAATTACAATCTGTACCATATTGTAGTCATTCAGGCTCATCTGTCAACCAGTTTGGATAAGACAAGACACCATGCGCTCAGTTTGACCTTCAGTGTTGGGATCAATAAGTCCTATACTCCAGATGCTCACCTGTTGGAAGATGCCAAGTTTGGCTTCATCAATGTCCTGGTCTGTGAACTTGCCGCCTGCTGCCCACTGTCCAGCCTCCTCAAACACATCCAATGTCTGCAGGGAATGAGGGTCTCTGCAAATGGACAATATGTTTTATCATCCAAAACTGGCTCCCACAGGAGATATCGCTTGGATTAGATCAAGCGATATCTACACTGTAGATATCGCTGCAATGAAATTACATCACAATGCTTTGCAGACCATTGTGACGTCACTGGTTACCATGACGTCACAATCAATTGACATCACTAATGGCTCTGCTACTGAAGCTGATAGCAGTACTTTTTACTCTGAAGACCCTGCTAATTACTGTCTACAAATTGAAAAAGTTGGAAGAATGATGTTGGATGATAAATAAAATCTCACCCTCGTGTCTTTTGATATCAAATATATCAACACTCGTTGATAAAAGTGGCAAAAATCCTCGGCAAGCCTCGGAATTTTTCCACTTTTATCAACTCATGTTGATATATTTGATATCAAAAGGCACTCGGGTGAGATTCTCTATTTATCATCCAAAACTGGCTCCCACAGGAGATATCGCTTAGATGAGATCAAGCGATATCTACACTGTAGATATCGCTGCAATGAAATTACATCACAATGCTTTGCAGACCATTGTGACATCACTGGTTACCATGACATCACTAATGGCTCTGCTACTGAAGCTGTTAGCAGTACTTTTTACACTGAAGACACTACTAATTACTGTCTACAAATTGAAAAAGTTGGAAGAATGATGTTGGATGATAAATAAAATCTCACACTCGTGTCTTTTGATATCAAATATATCAACACTTGTTGATAAAAGTGGCGGCAAGCCTCGGAATTTTTCCACTTTTATCAACTCGTTTTGATATATTTGATATCAAAAGACACTCGGGTGAGATTCTCTATGTAATACACTGGATAATCACAGATGGCTTGGAGGGTACCTTATCCCCTCTTGTCTTTAAATAGGAAATGCACGCAAGTTTTGTAGCTCTGCTGTACAATAACTGGCCATACTTCTAAAGAATCCTTCTTTGAATAGTAATTTCAATTTAGCATGTACCAACATTTGACTGTAAAGTAGAGCACACACTTGCCCCATGGCACGCCAAAGCTGTCAAAATCTGTTCAACAGGGTGACCAACTAGAGTTAATGCCCTTTGCCAGCTCCATAGATGGTTGCAACATTGGCAGAATCTTGTATGGCTCATGCTGTATCACCGTCCCTCCATTTAACAGTAGTTAGTACACACCACAAAATAATAATTATCAGCAGAAGAAATATGTTTCTTCTGCTGACATCACTTCCTGTTGGTGCATTTTCTTCTATTTCTTTTGATTATATAATGTATAGTTTATAGACTTTCTGGTGACGTTGTATAAAGGCTATAACTATTATTTTAGTTTTGTGGTGTGTTGATAACGTAGGTTTCAGTAAATAAATTATCACTTGCCCATTGAAGATACCACTGTTTAATTACAATAAGCTGGTATTACACAGTGTTAAAACCATAGTGTGTGCTAATGTAATGCCAGAACTAGTTTCACTAATAAATATTGAAAAGTTTGTGGTGCTGAATTCTAAAGGTATGCTGTTGTATGGTATCAAATTAATATATGTCCATTTTTAATGTGTCTGAAGTTGTATTTTTCTGTTAAACTCAATTGGAGTTTATGCTGTGGATGGCATTGATGTCTGCCTATTAACACATGAATGAAATATTGTATTCATACCCTTGACCGAGTTTATGATGGGAATTCCCATATAGTTGGATCAAATGTGGTTTTAATAAGTTATAAATGGCAGGTAATAAATAAAATACTAAACTCACTCCTGTATAATATCAATTCTGTGGTACCCATGAATAGGTCTGTTATCTGAACTAGTCACTTGTTTAATAAAGTTGCTATTACAAAGGAGTAAGTTTAGTATTCTCTATGCACGAGTCCCAGGGACCTACCTGTAAGAGAAGAAGCTGAACACGCCACTGTTGCACGCAGCACCACTGCCATATGCTCCTCCCTTCTCTCTGTAAACATTTCACTCATTAGACAACTCGTCAACATCAGATCTTTTACAATACGTGTCGGGTGAACTTTCTAGCTGGCCAATCGGCTTCTAAATTGTCAGTTCAAGTAAGCAAAGCATTCAGATAAGCATATTTTGGAAACAAGTGTAGATAAATAAGGCCGCACAACTATATGCTCGCTGCCAAATGGAATGCGAATACCATACACGTTGGTTTATATATGAAGACTTACTCAGATTCAAGAGATATCAGATTGATTTGATACACAAACGAACATACTGGTATGTTGTGTGAACCGATGCTCATGATACACGTCACATGTGATGTCAAAGAGCCATGACTCGATATGCACCATTTGCCTTGTGAAGGATTAGCCTGTAAAGTTTGGAAATCACAAGCAGCATCGTGATAAAAATAAAGTCACTCTGTGGTAACACTTGACTGATTGTTAGTTTTGTCATTGATTGGTACACATTGAAAACATCTCTTCTCAATGAACATACTTTTCTATATGTTCTTATGGTTCGTGTTTCTTTTGGTGGCGAGTATATTATTGTTGTGGCTACCATGACATCTTCACCATTGAAGGAATTTTGTGTTGTGTGGGTTTCATTTGTAAAAGCCGTAATTTCCAAACTGACAAAGGCAATTTGTTTCAGAAAACAGCCATCTGACTGGCTCAAGAACTCAAGAACATCTATGGAGGTGTGATCAGATCTTTATTTACTTTGTCGACAGTAAAGGATCTGATTTCAATGAAATTGCTCATCAGATAATCTGCATTAAAATATTTAGTGCTTACAATTATTAAGAACATTTTCTTTCCCAAACATTTGTAGCAGGAGTTAATAAGCTTACCTGATTTCTCTATGGAGGAACTTCCTTGACAGCAAATTTGCCAAAATTCTCAACCTAGAACAAACACATTGAAAGTTATAATAAGATAGACAAGGTACTACTGAAACTTATTCCATCTTCACTGTCAAGCTACCATGCATTCAAAAATCAGTGCATGTGAACACCACTGTCTGCCACTGACTCCATTTTGGAGAAAGAACTGGAAATCCCGTCAGATCAATCAAACTGGACAAATACATACCTAAAATCACTGAAAAGTGGTAATTTTCAAACCATGGTGGTCAAAGCAGCTATTGTCAAAACCCGAGGAGCGTTGTGTGTAACCGGTTTCACAACAGAAACCTGGCAACCATTAACTGCTCTCCCACAGTTGGTTTTAGAATTATCTCCAGATATTGTCACCATCAGGCCATACAAATCCAAGTTCATTCCACCTGACAGGGCTGTGCTACTCAAAGACAGTTACAACCTTGACTAATCATCTCTAATTTGACCAAAGTACACTGTTCTTTCCAAAGAGAATTTTTATTCTTCACTGCATCTCCACTTTAGCAAAGTTTAGGATTAAACATGCATATTGTATGTGGAGATATGACTATCCCATAACATAGCTACGCGATAAATCATGAAGCACAGTTTATTTCACAATAAAACATAAAGTCATTTCTGGAGATTCGAACATGCACTCGCAACTTGATGATGTCGCAAATTGGATGATGTTATTTTTCAGAGGGAAGTGTCCAGCAACTTCTTCCCCATAGATGTAGCTGGGCAACGTAGATAAACACAATGGCCAAACTATCGCATCAAAAAGTGGGAGAGATATGACAATGAGTATTAGGAGAAAAGGTACGCATGATCAACGTGAAAATTGTGAGAATATTCAGGAAATACCAAACTTAAACCCCCTGTTCATAAACGGACTTGTCGCATATTGCAGTGGTCGGATTGTATTCATCATTATTTAAATATGGGTAAATATTTTTCAAGTTTGTAAATTGTATTAACATCCATAAAGAGGCTGGTCATAATTTTTATATCTCATTTAAGAAATAAACGACTTATGGTCAATGTTTATCGTAAATATAGCACTGCATGGAGAATAAACCATGAGGGGTGCACTTATTGTACAATAAAACACAGGGAGAATAAACCAGTCCTTGTTTTAGCCCCTTAATACCAAGCGCCAGGCAGGGTAACAGTAAGTACCATCTCTTAATGTCTTTTGGTATGATGCGGCGGGGGATTGAAGCCCCGGACCTTCCGCTCTCCACTAGACCACGGAGGCAGTCCCTGAACAATAAGATGCTATTGTTACCTTGCGTAGTCTGGATGTGAGTAGATAACGCCAGGCACGCTCTTGCTCATGTAGTTGACTGAGAATGGCAGCTCAAACTGCGTGTGTGAAGAACTGACTGCGAAGGAAGGGTTCTTCACGAGTTTGGTGGCGCCCCCTCCTGGTGACCCTGGGATGTCTGACAGGAAGCGCTCCATCTTGCCAAGCACAGTGTCCATAAACTGTGGAGTTGCATTCACCATTACCCTGCAAGACAATCATTGCATGCACAGTGAATTACAAGCATCACTCACAAAGGGTACCTTGGACTAAGCTTCCTTCAAACCCTATTGATAATCCTCTCTACTGCACCCCCTATTGTTAGAAATAAGTTCATAGAGGATAAAATGGGGACAACTGTTTTCCCTAAAAAGCATTTGACAAGTATGTTTTTCTCTGTGCTGTTCATATTTGGTGTCCACATGTGGGCAATCAGACCTGGTTCTTCAGAGTACAAACCACAATGCAATTTCACTGCCATAATAGGGTAACTGTCACATTGGCCCTTATTTGTGGACTGACAGCACGTACCTGATGTTCTGTTTGGACAGGATATGTTTCCCTATTTCCTGCAGGTGTTGTACGAGTTCCGTGTGATCTCCGGACTCCGCGATCTTCTTCATTGTTGTCACCTGGGAACAAGATGAACGTTTAAAAATCAGGTCACTCACACAGATTTGAACAAATAATAATTCAGGAATCAGATATGAAAGTCAGCTCAAACATCTGTGCCATATCACAAAATAGTTATCTCAATATATTCAAACATGTTTTAAGATTGAAACATTTTCCTCAAAAGATACTGCCTGTCTTTCATTTTTTAAATGAAATACTCACTAAATCAAATCGAGGACTTATTAAAGTGTCAAAAGACAATGTTTTCATCACAGACTACTCCATCGCCCATTGGTTATATTTTTTTTAACACTATTCCAGTTATATCACGGCATGTCCACTTGATGTGGGTGGAAAGCCTGAAGTTGGTTAGTTTGTTTGTTTGTTGTTTAACGCCGCACTCAGCAAAATTCCAGCTATATGACGGCGGTCTGTAAATAATCGAGTCTGGACCAGACAATCCAGTGATTGATATCATGAGCATCGATCCACGCAATGTATCAACCAAGTCAGCGAGCCTGACCACCCGATCCCGTTAGTCGCCTTTTACGACAAGCATAGTCACCTTTTACAGCAAGCATGGGTTGCTGAAGATCTATTCTACCCCTGAATCTTCATGGGGCGGAAAGCCCGAAGTGATGCAGGTCTCAGACATTTACCACTTTGGTGAAACCCATGAGCACGGGTATGGTTCTGACAAACCTAGAAACATAATTGGGCGTAACTGGGAATCAAACCCATGATCATAGGTTTCTCGTGTGTCCAAGGGACACAACTCTGCGGTGACTTTAGACAACTTTTTTATATAATATATATATGCACAAATATAATGCTAGACCTGTGTGACACCGCTGAAAGTCTCACTGAGCTGTGCTGCTGGTGAAAGCCCTGCTGAAGAGTGTTTCATGGCGTAACTGTGGCCGGAGTTGGACAGACTGGAGGCCATGTCGCTGGCAGCCATGTTAATCAGCGTTGTCAGTCGGTTCAGATCTTTCAAGTCTGGGCTGAAAACAACATAGTGGTACACAAGTAAACACATGGCTTACATATCAAATAATTTCTTTTAACTGAAACTATCTCTACAGTAGTATCAGCAGTAACTGGACTTGTTCAGTACTAAACTTTGAATCCAGTTCAGACACTGAGTGAGACAATTTCCTGCTAGGGCACAAGTATAAAACCCATTCACACTCATTCTCTCTCTCTTCCTTTTTTTCTCTCACTCTTCTTTTTTCTCTCTCTCTCTCTCTCTCTATAAAAAAAGTGATGCTATGTGGTGCAAAAACTACTGTTATGGGGTACACCAAGAAGTAGGCTTTACATTTTACTTAGGCAGGAGTCTATTCATAAGACTCTCATAAAAGTAAAGTATGCAGTGATGAAGAGCATCAATTCCAAATACATTGATCTTTTGACCTACAAATAAGTTTGGAATTTGAAGTGTTGAAAGTATGTTACAGACAGATTGTGGGTAATTAATCAACTGATGGCAACAGAAGTCTGTACAAGAGAGGTCCGACCATAACTGAGTTCTCAGAATGTACAAACTGATCTCTCTAATACGTTGTCACCCCAACCTGGTGAAGATGTGTGTCCAGAGTTCCGCCATCTTGTTCAGGTTCCTCTCCAAACAGTGGGAAGAGAATGCGACACCCTGCAGGGGGAGACAATCATCATCTTTATCACAGTTCATACTGCAACAGCAGATTTGCATGAATTTCTGGGTGTGTATATTTATAACTCTTATTCCAATTTACGTGTTTGCTCTTAAATGTTTCAAGCAAGTATTAGTTAGAACAGTATTCTTTAAACTATTCTTTGTTAACTTTTGCACAAAAAAGGCAAGTTCAAAAGAAATATGACCTAACCCAATTGTTTTTCATATGTTTGGACTCATGCATAGTATATACCGTATTCGACGTAATAAGCGCCCACGGCAGTATTTGCAAATGTATTGGCTACTGAACAATCCCAATTAGCACCCCTTCCGATTGATCAATGTACACAAGATTTATTTATTCGTGTTTAATACGCACTCGTGTGTTATATGCACCCTTAATTATGGGCAATTAAATTCTGGAAAAATATAACTGTCATATATAAACATCAGCATAAACCACGAAATTTACCATCTTTCAACTCCAAAATAATATTCTAATAAGAGCCTGCTATTTCTAATTTTGAGTGCCCTGGGCACATATTACATCAAATACTGTAGTACAGGTATTATTACACACAGAATGAGATACTGACCTGCTGGAAGGCATAAGGCTCTGTGTGATGGCTGGCTATTGTTAGCCCCGAGGACAGACCCCCAGTATACAGCTGCATCTCTTCTGACAGAGACTTGTAGTCGTACGGACCAGCACCCATCCTGGACAAAACATAAGGAGGAGGCAGCATGTGAACTTCATCCTGCTTTGAACAGTTCATCAGTAAAATTGAAGGAAAAGTGCAGGTCATGGTGCTGCCCAGCCAAGGATCATAATCAGATCAAGTCTGGCCTGAGTGGTAGTATAGACGACCAGGCCCAGCTCCTGAAACTGCTTACATGCAGGTCTGCTTAACAAAATTTTAGCAGTTGTTACATCTTGCTAGCCATACATGACGATCCAGTGATTGACATCACATAAGTGACAAAACTTAAGACCTCCATGGAAGCATTGTCACAAGCATGACCTGGTCCGGGGGTGGTCCCATACCCCCATTGTCCATACTACCTGAGTTCCTGGTGATGACAAACCAAGAAACATAACCGAGGCAAACCCGGATTCAAACCCACAATCATAGGTTTCTGGCATGCCCAAGGGACGCAACTCTGCACAGCGAATCGCTGCGCATTAGACGACTGGGCCACCCGTGCCCCCTAATTGGGGCGAACCGGGATTCAAACCATTAATAGAAAAGAGGTAGCCCAAAATGTCTTTTAAATTGATGAGTTAAGATGAGATGAACTATGTACGAAAGTCGGCCATATTGTTTACTACATTGTGTCTGATGTGACATCCAATGGACACGGGCTGTCGGGTAGCCTAGTGGTTAAAGCGTTCATTCATCACGCCGAAGACCCGGGTTCGATTCCCAACATGGGTACAAAGTGTGAAGCCCCTTTCTGGTGTCCCCCGCCGTGATATTGCTTGAATATTGCTTAAAGCAGTGTAAAATCAAACTCACACTCACTGCAATAGACACATTATTGAAACTCCCTATTTACTGCCTTACCAAGGGAGATGACCCTATCCATAATACATACATGAGTTATCTCCCCTTACTGCATGAAATCATGATAGTAAGGCCACTGACTGGTTTACTCACTTTGTGATGACACTGCAGAAGAGAGGGACGTAGGGGTACAGATGGGGTGGCAGGTCGGCCATGTTGGATAGAAGTGTCACGTACACCACCTCGTTGGTCGGCTGCTTGCTGTACTGGATAGGAACACCTCCTGAAACATACCAGTCGTTGGGATATCAGCTGTTAAAGGGGGACTTAAGGCTCGGGCAAATTGGCAGTCCTAACATGACTGCTCTGTCTGTCTGCTGACTCTATAATGATGCAGATCAATATAACAGTTGATTGTTATTGTTACAGATAGACATGAGACATTTCACACAAGGAACTTATGTCTAGACCTAGACTGAACATGAACAAAGCGTGAAGTGAAATCCCCCTAAAGCTACCTTGTCGGTGAAGTTGATACAAAGTGAGTGAGTGAGTGAGTGAGTGAGTTGGGTTTAACGCCGCTTTTTAACAGTATTCCAGTTATATCGCGGCGTGTCAGCTTAATGTGGGAGGAAAGCCCGAAGTGATGCAGGTCTCAGACGTTTACCACTTGAGTGAAACCCACGAGCACGGGTATGGTGCCGACAAACCTAGAAAAATAATCGAGGCGAACCGGGATTCGAACCCACGATCATAGGTTTCTGGCGTGCCCAAGGGACGCAACTCTGCACAGCCAATCGCGGCGCCTTAGACGACTGGGCCACCCATGCCCCCTTGATACATAGTACTTCAGTATAAGTCAAAGAATGATACGGGTTTTACCAGCTCACCTAAACTTGTTGTGTCTACAATCTCTTGTTTGATGTTCTTGTTGAGATCAGACACCCTCAGTGTAGGTAGACAGGACAGATCTTCAGCTGCATCCTGTTTACCAAGAAGCTCTTGAGCTGAACAAAAGAAAACTGGAGATTACATCCACAGTACCAAGTGTGGATACAGCTTCTTAGAACAGGGGTTTGTTTATTTGTAAGTCTTTGATAAGCATTTAGCAGTTGGAAGAACATGAAGACTTTTATGTATAAAATCTCTTTATTGTTTGTAATGATGACGTTTCAGGGCTACTTCTAGCCCCTTTATCAGGTGAATTGTTGCTTTACTGAAATGCCAAATGATTTAGAGTATTTATCAACATGATTAGCATGCTTCAAAAAGGTGGGGTGCCCACCTCAGCCCCCCCCTGTCTGGATACAGTGAACACCCTTGAATATCAATAGCTTACATTAACATTGGCATCACCCATTTATTTACCCATCTTCCCGAAGCAAGAGAGTTAACTGACTATAAAAGTCCAGTTTCCACCCTTGCCAAACTAGGCTGGAATTATGGAGTTACATTTTGGCTGGACTAACGAGTCTATGCATAGTCCAATCAAAATCGCACACCAAAATCGAAATCCAGTTCTTAAACTGTCATGCAGAGTTCGGTCAATTGCAGGATTTGCAAAGCATGTGCATCGCCAACTCGTCAACAGATATTTTCCAAATCTTTTCAAGTTTTTAATCAAGGTGCTCACGTGATTTGATGTACTTCGCGAAGTAAGAACCGTTTTATCACAAAATAGATCCTGATGGTCGATCAGATTTTGTTTGAAGCAAATGCATGTGATACGAGAGGTGGAATCAGATTGGTCCATATGGGAGGGGCATAGAATGGACATAACTTGTAAAAGCCACTGGTGGCGCTAAGATTGAGCCCAGGAATTCCAGCCTAGTTCGGCAATGGTGGAAACTGGACTTGTAAAGTCAGTTTACGCTCTTGCCTCGGGAAGATGTTATTTACCATGGTGAGAGCATGGGTTGCTTTTAAGCCACAGTCAGCATTAATTCAGCTGTATATCCTGTAAATAAACTTCACCAGTGGTCGATAGTATGAATAACGAACCACACATTGGGTCATGATGACACACAAATTCAGGCCACACACTGTGTACCAGGTGATCCATATGAGTCTACTCTTACAACAAACATGGCGACCTATTCAACCTCAGCATCCCCGTATACTTTCACTACCTACTCTGTGTAATGATGACTTGTCTTTCCTTGTCTGTCAGTACCGACACCAGGGAATCCAGTTTGGCTTTCTCGGCTTCCTGTCTCTTGACCTCATAGCTGCTTTCTGGGGTCATGCTCACAGTCAAGTTGTGGGGATTGTTCTGCAAGGAATGTAATGGAACTATGAAAAGAAGTTTACCGTTTTAGCCATGATAAAAAGTTCCAGAATAAAGACAACAGTTAACCACTTACCTGAAATGTATGCAAAGTTTCATGAATATACATTAAAAGGTTTATGCTCTTGTAAGAACCCTATCCTCATTAGATATATGTCTATAGTGGATTCCAGGAAACCTGTCCCCATTGGTATTACTGTGCACCAAGTCAAAAAGATAAAACAAGGTCTGTAACTCTGTAACATACTAGTTCTTGATGCTGGATTTCGAACTCCAACGTTTATCTCTTAATGATGTTTCCAAAATGTCACTGTGGTACTCATAACGGTTTCTGAGGAAACAATGTCCAGTGTTCCAAACATAAGGCAAGGACGATAACTTACATACATACATATCCATTAATGATGTATGCAAGAAAAACTTGTCCCCATTGAAGATCCCGTGCACCATGTCCAAACGATCAAACAAGGGCTATAAACTGAAGTTTCCTATACTAACTCAATCAACAATTATTTTTTCGTAATTGATGTATTCAATCTTTCTTCCTTTTATCCATAGTAGTTTCTAAAAGCATTAAAATAGGCCCGAAGGATGGAGTCCAACCCTCCAGCCTCGTTTTGGGCTTTGCAAGCCAGTCATTCTGTAAACTATCATTATATGGCTTGCGGCCCCCAAAGTATTTTCATTTTCACTCATACCTGCAGGGTATCACCCTTTCTACATATTTCCATTTTATCTTTTTAGATCTACCCGCAGGGTTCGAAGTCATTTTCATATATATTTCAAATTTACTTATGCAACCCGCAGGGCTGCCTTTTTATACTATTTACCCGCAGCGTAAGTTACCTTTCCAACACCGAGTCAGCCCCTGAATCTTATGCCAAGTATTGTATATAATAAACTTTTGATCGTACTCAATTGTTTTTGTTGTCACTGCACAAATAGGCCCGAAGGATGGAGCCCAAACCTCTAAATGTTTGGAGTGGGATAATAACTGTCTTTAAACAATTAGTGTCATCCACTTGCCTTGAAATACTGCTGCACTTTCTCCTGGAGAAATCGGGGATTGTCTTTCAACCTCTCTTTGAATTGGGCAACTCTCTCATTGATCTGTAGGTGGCTGCTCGGGTCACTGTCGTGGATCCAGTGGGAGATTACCGACTTACAAAAAAATAAGAATGCAAATTTATGCAAATGAGTTGTAGGCATAACTAACAAATCACGCAAACATTGCTCGTACTTAGCACGAAAATGACAGGTGTGAGAGTAAAGGCCTTGACTTATTACTATCACACTATTAAGAACACAGGAAAACCCTCATGCAGTGCAGAGCACAGCCCACATGTAGCATAGCATAATAATCATAGCATAATAATCATAGCATAATAATCATAGTGCAACAAATCAGAATAGAAATAATAACTGGAATTATTCTGTAATAATTTGATAAATAATGCCCTGACCTATTAATATAGCTGTATGATGGCAGTCTGTAAATTATCGTCTCGACCAGACAATCCAGTGATTGACATGATCATTGATCTATGTAACTGGGACATGGTGACATGCATCAACCAAGTCAGCAAGCCTGGCTTCCTGATCCCACTAGTTGCCTCAAGCATAGGTTGCTGAAGGCCAATTCTAGCCTGGATCTTCATGGGTGTAATATAGCTTTTAGGTGCATCAAAGACTACAATGTTGCAAGCTAACCATTACTTGTGAGACACTGAATGTTGACATCGTGTTGATGATCTCATGGGAACTATACTTTAAGTAAAGAGATGCGTATGGTTTAACGCTGCTTTTAGCAATATCACACCGGGGGACACCAGAAATGGGCTTCACACATTGTACCCATGTCCAGAATCGAATCCGGGTCATCGGCGTGACGAGCAAACGCTTTAACCACTAGGCTACCCGACCTCCCCTACAGTTTAGAACAACTCCCCAGCAACCTATGCTGTTGTAAGAGACAACTAAATGGATCAGGTGGTCAGACTTGGTGACTTGGTGGATTGCATGTTATTGTGTCCCATTTGCGTGGATCGATGTTCAATGATTTCAATGATTGCCTGGTCCAGACTTAGTTATTTACAGACCACTGACATATAGGTGGATTATTGCTGAGAGCAGCATTAAACAACAAACACATTGAAGACATTGTATATTTGATATTTGAACACTGATGGAACTGTCGACCAAAATGTTAAGATGCAATTCATGTTATCAGATTGCCAAACATAACACAAGACATAAAATGATATAAACACACCACTCCCAGTCCAAGACCGAAGTTGCTGCTTTGATGTTTGAGGGCAAGTTCTATGCTATGAAGGAGAGCATCAATTCTCTTCTGTTCAAACCCTTCTCTGAAACAAATATTACAATTGAATGTTACCTAAGGTTTTGATAACAGCCTTGATCTTGTCTAGTGCTGCTGTCAGTGTGATAGTTGGGTGACTCTATTTCTATTATAACCCATACACTATTACCAGGCTCTTACGGTAGTACTTCACAAACTTCACCTTGAAACATTCAAGGGAGGCAACTTTGCAGGAATGTATCAAAAACAGCACAGTGTTCAAAATTGAGGTTTGCCTGACACTTTTACAGAAGTGTTAAGACCAGGAACCATCGACTTTCATGCTTACCTTACATTATAACATTCACCTTTATACATTATAACATTATTGGTATTTCCTGGATTCTTAAATGAACTACAGTAGAAAATGTAAAATCATTGGTTGGGTGGTATATGCGATCTTTGAATGTATCGATGGAAATTTAAAATAAATAAATCAACTAAGAAGTTTAAATAAAGACATGTTTGAAAGGTGAAAGGATGGTTTGCGAACTCACTGTATGACTTTGTCAAAGGTGTCAGCAATAATCTGCCGCACCCTGTTGGTGTCCTTTTCATGAATTCCCTGCAAGCCAACGGAGAAAGTAGCTTCTCTCGTATGTCCGTCATACCTGCGCACAGAGTGAGTTAATTTTGTTAAACACAACAGATATTAAACTTGGTTTTCAATCTTTTGTCTCTTTGTATAATTCATTACAAGTAAATAAACTTGAACTGTCGTACTTATGGCATGTCTACTGACTGCATACCTTCTCAATAATACCTGCTGCCACGACCTTGACCTATCTTTCTAAACGTGCATTATACTCTACAATAACACGTGATGTGTTGTACGTCCACCTACCCAATGGCTGGCGAGTAGTCACTGCCAATGTTGGCCTCCAGGAGAGACTTGTAGAATGGCGCCGTCTCCCCATCAACCAGAAGTGTGCAGATCACCGACATCGTGAAAGATTCCTCACTGTCGGTCATACTGATGGTGAAAAGCAAAACCAAAGTTGCTGTGTGTTGAGGTTTTCATCTATGCAGCAGCTCAAGAAATTCCGTTCAGTTAGGATTTCATCATCAATGAATCATCACAGTTAGTTTGTTACAACCAGTGAAATATCAATCTCAGTTAATATCTAGAGTACCATCATCCAGAAGTTACATTCGAAGTACCGTATTCAACGTAATAAGCACCCAGGGTGCTCTCAAAATGAGAAATACGGGGCTCTTATTAGAATATAATTTTGGTGAAAGAGTCGAAAGATCTTAAATTTTATGGTTTATGCTGACAGCCTAAAATGATACAAAAGAAAAGTCTGTGCGTATCATACACGACAGATATATTTTTCCAGAATTTAATTGCCCGTAATTAAGGGTGCATATAACACACGAGTGCGTATTATACACGAATAAATGTACACGTATTGTGTACATTGATCAGTCGGAAGGGTGCTAATTGGGATTGTTCACTAGCCAATATATTGGAAAATATCGTCATGGGCGCTTATTAGAGTGGGGCGCTTATTACGTTGAATACAGTAACTGCTAATATCCAAGATGAATTTGTTTTAATAACACCCCCACACCCCCACCGGAATACTGCCTCCTTAGATATAATCCTATTCTGTATGCTCATGTACACACTTCTACTCCTACAGCTGTAAGGAGTCTACTGCACACATTACCTTTTTGTAGGTTTCTGGTTTAACACCTCACTCAGCAGTATTTCAGCTATATGATGGTGGGGTGGTGGTTGTAAATATCGAGCCTGTCCGGACAATACAGTGATCGATATTGTGAGCAACAATTCACGTCGTCGGTGTACAATCACACCTAATCAAATATGTCAAAGCCCCAGGCCACCCAATCCATTTGGTTGCCTCTTACAACAAGAATAGGTTGCCGAGGAATTATTCTAACCCACAATTCCCACAAGGTGACATTGCTTCAAAAACATACATACTCTCATCTGTTAATCAGATCATAAAAGTACTCACTCATTCAATAAGTAACTGATACAAACAGACGTCTGCTTGTCTTGGTCAGCGGCCATTGGATCTGGGGCACAGGTGATGCTTGTTTCTCGCTGTTTCAACAGACAAGGCATCAGAATAACAAACACAATATTCAGATGACAAACATCAGATCAGCAGACACATCATCAGAACAACAAACAGCTTCAAATCCTCAAGATACAAGGAAAACTAAACATGTTATAGTTTCAACAAGTGAGTGAACGCTACAGTCAGAAATATTCCGTCTATGTTATGGCGACCAGTAAATAGTCAAGTCTGAAGCAAGTTAAGCAGTGACCTTAGAACATGATCAAAGATGTGGCCATCCAGGATGATGACACACAACCTGCATAGTCGCAGACTCTGATCACCTGATTTCATAATCAGAGACCGCCTCCATGGTCTTAATGGATAGAGTCTGGAAGGTCTGTTCGAACAACGGCCATGTCATAACAAGGTGAAAAGGTGATTCTTCTTGTTACCCTGCCTCATCATACCACAAGATGGTACTTGTTGTTACCCTGCCTGGTGCTCGGCACTAAATGGGATAAAGCAAGGACTGGTCGGCTCGGAGTAAGTATGCTGTGTCTGTGTTGGGTATCCATGTAAAACTGCAGCATGGTATCTCAGTGGGCTAGCACTATAAAACCACCAAAGAAACACACACTATATAAGTGCAATAATCATGGAAGTGACGTTAAACCACATTTAACTTGTTGAGACCTGTTTCGGAAGAGAATCCCTGTAACATTGCAACATTTTGTTATCACCTCAGCAAACATCCACCCTACTTTATTATTCAAATTTTCTTTATGCTGCATCATGGGAGCAGTTACCGGTTGTTTCCATCGAGGTTCAGCTGGGACGGAAGTGTTGACAGGGATTCGTGAGAAATGCTGCAGATAGTTGGTGTTGATGTATTCGAGGTGGTTCTCCAAGGGGAAACTGCCATATGTGAAAAACCTGCAACACAACTCGGATAATAATCCACCATCATCAAGACATCAACCAGGGGATATGTTCACCCAAAACATTTCATTCAGACATTGTCTGAAATAGCATATGGATGAATTTAGAAAATATGTTGCCCTCATCTAATGAAAACAAATTAAACGCTATGAAAATAATTCAAACACTTGTCTGTTTTCAGACCAAATTAGGAATATGAACACAGAACATTTATGAAAGACAAATTAGAATTTTACGCAAAATGGTTTCTCGGATATTGAGGTTCTGAAAGTTAAAGATGATGGGCAGAGAGGTGCTACAACATTTATGACAGACATGCTTGGGTGCTTTGTCTCCTAGCACCAGACACCCTGTATCTCCCCTGACTAGCACCAGACACCCTGTGTCTCACCAGACTAGCACCAGACACCCCGTGTCTCACCAAATCCCCTGACTAGCACCAGACACCCTGTGTCTCCCCTGACTAGCACCAGACACCCTGTGTCTCCCCTGACTAGCACCAGACACCCTGTGTCTCACCAAATCCCCTGACTAGCACCAGACACCCTGTGTCTCCCCTGACTAGCACCAGACACCCTGTGTCTCCCCTGACTAGCACCAGACACCTTGTGTCTCCCCTGACTAGCACCAGATACCCCGTGTCTCACCAAATCCCTTGACTAGCACCAGACACCCTGTGTCTCCCCTGACTAGCACCAGACACCCTGTGTCTCCCCTGACTAGCACCAGACACCCTGTGTCTCACTAAATCCCTTGACTAGCACAAGACACCCTGTGTCTCCCCTGACTAGCACCAGACACCCTGTGTCTCCCCTGACTAGCACCAGACACAGACACCCTGTGTCTCACCAAATCCCCTGACTAGCACCAGACACCCTGTGTCTCACCAAATCCCTTGACTAGCACAAGACACCCTGTGTCTCCCCTGACTAGCACAAGACACCCTGTGTCTCACCAAATCCCCTGACTAGCACCAGACACTCTGTGTCTCCCCTGACTAGCACAAGACACCCTGTGTCTCCCCTGATTAGCACCAGACACCCTGTGTCTCACCAAATCCCTTGACTAGCACCAGACACCCTGTGTCTCCCCTGACAAGCACCAGACACCCTGTGTCTCCCCTGACTAGCACCAGACACCCTGTGTCTCACCAAATCCCTTGACTAGCACCAGACACCCTGTGTCTCCCCTGACTAGCACCAGACACCTTGTGTCTCACCAAATCCCCTGACTAGCACAAGCCACCCCGTGTCTCCCCTGACTAGCACCAGACACCCTGTGTCTCACCAAATCCCTTGACTAGCACCAGACACCTTGTGTCTCCCCTGACTAGCACCAGACACCCTGTGTCTCACCAAATCCCCTGACTAGCACTAGACACCCCATGTCTCACCAAATCCCTTCACTAGCACCAGACACCCTGTGTCTCCCCTGACTAGCACCAGACACCTTGTGTCTCCCCTGACTAGCACCAGACACCCTGTGTCTCACCAAATCCATTGACTAGCACCAGACACCCTGTGTCTCCCCTGACTAGCACAAGACACCCTGTGTATCCCCAGACTAGCACCAGACACCCCGTGTCTCACCAAATCCCTTGACTAGCACCAGACACCCTGTGTCTCCCCTGACTAGCACCAGACACCCTGTGTCTCACCAAATCCCTTGACTAGCACCAGACACCCTGTGTCTCCCCTGACTAGCACCAGACACCCTGTGTCTCACCAAATCCCTTGACTAGCACCAGACACCCTGTGTCTCCCCTGACTAGCACCGGACACCCTGTGTCTCCCCTCACTAGCACCAGACACCCCGTGTCTCACCAAATCCCCTGACTAGCACCAGACACCCTGTGTCTCCCCTGACTAGCACCAGACACCCTGTGTCTCCCCTGACTAGCACCAGACACCCTGTGTCTCACCAAATCCCTTGACTAGCACAAGACACCCTGTGTCTCCCCTGACTAGCACCAGACACCCTGTGTCTCACCAAATCCCTTGACTAGAACCAGACACCCTGTGTCTCCCCTGACTAGCACCAGACACCCTGTGTCTCCCCTGACTAGCACCAGACACCTTGTGTCTCACCAAATCCCCTGACTAGCACAAGACACCCCGTGTCTCCCCTGACTAGCACCAGACACCCCGTGTCTCACCAAATCCCTTGACTAGCACCATACACCTTGTGTCTCCCCTGACTAGCACCAGACGACCTGTGTCTCACCAAATCCCCTGACTGGCACCAGACACCCTGTGTCTCCCCTGACTAGCACCAGACACCCCGTGTCTCACCAAATCCCTTGACTAGCACCAGACACCCTGTGTCTCCCCTGACTAGCACCAGACACCTTGTGTCTCCCCTGACTAGCACCAGACACCCTGTGTCTCACCAAATCCCTTGACTAGCACCAGACACCCTGTGTCTCCCCTGACTAGCACCAGACACCCTGTGTCTCCCCTGACTAGCACCAGACACCCCGTGTCTCACCAAATCCCTTGACTAGCACCAGACACCCTGTGTCTCCCCTGACTAGCACCAGACACCCTGTGTCTCACCAAATCCCTTGACTAGCACCAGACACCCTGTGTCTCCCCTGACTAGCACCAGACACCCTGTGTCTCCCCTGACTAGCACCAGACACCCTGTGTCTCCCCTGACTAGCACCAGACACCCTGTGTCTCACCAAATCCCTTCACTAGCACCAGACACCCTGTGTCTCCCCTGACTAGCACCAGACACCTTGTGTCTCCCCTGACTAGCACCAGACACCCTGTGTCTCACCAAATCCCCTGACTAGCACCAGACACCCTGTGTCTCCCCTGACTAGCAACAGACACCCCGTGTCTCACCAAATCCCCTGACCAGCACCAGACACCCTGTGTCTCACCTGGCTAGCACCAAACACCCTGTGTCTCCCCAGACTAGCACCAGACACCCTGTGTCTCCCCGACTAGCACCAGACACCCTGTGTCTCCCCTGACTAGCACCAGACACCCTGTGTCTCCCCTGACTAGCACCAGACATCCTGTGTCTCACCAAATCCCCTGACCAGCACCAGACACCCTGTGTCTCCCCTGACTAGCAACAGGCACCCTGTGTCTCACAAAATCCCGTGACTAGCACCAGACACCCTGTGATAGTGTGTGGTGTGGAGGGGACTGACCTGGAGTTGCTGGGGTGATAGTGTGTGGTGTGGAGGGGACTGACCTGGAGTTGCTGGGGTGATAGTGTGTGGTGTGGAGAAGACACTGACCTGGAGTTGCAGGGGTGATAGTGTGTGGTGTGGAGGGGACTGACCTGGAGTTGCTGGGGTGATAGTGTGTGGTGTGGAGGGGACTGACCTGGAGTTGCTGGGGTGATAGTGTGTGGTGTGGAGGGGACTGACCTGGAGTTGCTGGGGTGATAGTGTGTGATGTGGAGGGGACTGACCTGGAGTTGCTGGGGTGATAGTGTGTGGTGTGGAGAAGACACTGACCTGGAGTTGCTGGGGTGATAGTGTGTGGCATGGAAGTCCTTCAGTTGTTGCCACGTGAGATCAGGGATGTAAGCAGGGTCTCCACCCGACACCACTCCATACGTGTGGCTTGGCTGGAGCTTGTTGTGAGCCACTTGGTTGAAGAGAGCCTGGGAGCTTGACTGGTAGGGAGGAAACATTGCACTCATTACTGCTTCCAATGAGTATACTTATCTGTGAGTGAGTGAGTGAGTGAGTGAGTGAGTGAGTGAGTGAGTCAGTGAGTGAGTCAGTGAGTGAGTGAGTGAGGTTGAACACAGTTTTGAACAGTATTTCACGGCGTGTCAGCTTAATGAGGGAGGAAAGCCCGAAGTGATGCAGGACTTAGACGTTGACCACTTTGGTGAAACCCACAAGCACAGGTATGGTCCTGACAAATCTAGAAACATAATCAGGCTGAACTGGGATTCTAACCCATGATCATTAAATTCTGGCATGCCCAAGAGACACAACTCTGTACAGCAAATTGCAGTGGCTTAGATGACTGGGCCACCCATGCCCCCAAAGAGTGCATGATATGAATTATCATTACACCACAATAGTCTTAAAAGCCAGGGACCAACTTGTCAGTAGGTCACAAGTAATGGTCATTATCTTATTCTTATTCAGTTTTACACATTTCCATATTGATGTCACATTTTGAAATAAAGCACTTTTGTGTTTGATGACAAACTTTACGACAATTGTTTCCATTGCATTTTGTTAACTGACTTAACTAACATCAGAAGCATTGTCCTTTTTGCTCAGGTGTCACAACTTTCATGTAAAATTGAAATAGTGCCATGCAAGGATTAGTCTGTGTCTTGGCACCTGAGAGCCTAACCTAATAGTTCCATAACACAAATTCTTACAAAAACGCCCTTCATCTCATTGTAGACGACGCCCTTGAAGGTGAGTGGGGAAGAGGGATTGCTTGGGTCCTCAGGCTCCAGACGCCAACCCTCCTGCCTGAAACACGGAAAGTACATACCGTATTACCTCCGATAAGCACTCGAATAACTGGTCAGGTTAAAACATTACTGCAGAACATCATGCTCAAAATAAACCCTGCATCAGTTAATTATCATCTTGTTTATGCATTAATTGATCTCTATTACAACTAGCATGTTTTTACCCAGCTTTGAGCAATATTCATGGTATTCCAGTCATATCACAGCAGGGAACTCTAGAAATATGCTTCAACCATTGTACTCATGTGGGTGATCGATCCCTATGACAGGCAAACGCTTTAACAACTATGTTACCCAATGACCTTCACGGCAGCGAAGTGCAATCAGGCTGTGACTACTGTAATAGCAGGTTATTGACATGGTGTTCTCACTTGAAGTCCAGCTCCCTGAGTGTGGGGCGGAACACGGCATCGAGGTACACACTCAGTAAGTTCTGGAAGTCCTGAGGGTTCTGGCTTGAAAATGGATACATCGTCCAGTCATAGGCTGAAAACAAAACACCTCTTGAGCTTTTGTGTTTGAGCTTAAGGTTCCTGTACTGTTTCGTTTTTAAAGTTGAAAATATTAATGTGATAGACTGTTTATGAGGCTTGGTTATTGCTCAGTTTCCACACTTGACTATCCTCAAACAGCGCGGAAAAATATATTTAAAATACCAGATTTAAATCACAGCAACTGATACGCTGATACAAATTGTGAAAGCCTGACGACATCAATGAAACTGCTGAGGGAAGGACATATTTGTACATACCAGTGAAGGCATTCATGAAGGTGGCAAGGGACAGACATATTTGTACATACCAGTGAAGGCATTCATGAAGGTGGCAAGGGACAGACATACTTGTACATACCAGTGAAGGCATTCATGAAGGTGGCAAGTGACAGACATACTTGTACATACCAGTGAAGGCATTCATGAAGGTGGCAAGTGACCGGCTGAGCATCTTAAAGAATGGATCCCGTACAGGAAACTTGTCTGAGCCGCAGAGTGTGGTGTGCTCCAGGATGTGAGGTACGCCAGTGTTGTCCAGCGGTGTTGTGCGGAATGCAACACTGAAAATGAAAACCAAACTTGAATTTTAATATTTTGTAAAACTATACACCTTCTTTACAATTCAGCAGGCTAAAGGTTAAACAGTTATGATATCTCAAATGTGAACTGTTTGCAGTATACACAAAACAGAAGCAGTTTCATCATCAGATTTCCGTTTTGACAATTATCACCCCAAAAAGAGCACCCCTCCTTAAACATGAAAGGGCCAATATCAAACTCAGAGAGCCATAAATTATTTATTATTGATAAGAATCTCTTCCAAAATAGGCAACAAATTAACCTCTAAGACCCATTTTACTACGATATAGATCTTGATTACCGATCAGATCGTCTTGACTTGGCGCCACCATTTTGTTTGAAGCAAAGGCAAGAGATATGTGAGGTGGAATCTGATTGGTCAATAGGAGGGACATAGAAGTGACATAACTCGTAATAGCCTATTCTAGCCTAGTTCGGCAAGGGTGGAAACTGGACTTTAATAGTCAGTTAAAGCCCTTGCCTTGGGAAGATGAGCAAGTTTCACCAAGAAATATTCAACGGTTTTGGAGTTCTGCCTAAAGCTAGTTATGACCATTTTTCATATATCTGTAAACTAGTTGAAATGTTAGTGACTATGGCATTTAACAACCAACAAACACACAAATATTCTGCGATGTAATCAGAGTGTTGTTCACCTGGGCTGAGACTACTCACCCGAATGTGTTGTTGTCGTCATCGCGGGCTGTGTGAAGATGTTGAGCTCCAGTGGTATCATGCTCCAGTGCAATGGCAGTTAGATATAACTCAGGCACCTCAGATACCTGAAACATAGAGTACAAAATCAGAAACACTCAAGCCTCAATGATACTGCCCACTTATCACACTTATTACACATTGAATGAGTGAGGTAGTGGGGGTTTAATGCAACTTTTGAACAGAATTTCAGCTATTTCAATTTTGCTCCAAAGGAGGCAGTCAAAGATGCTGATGGTGAAACTCCCAAACAGAAGCAGAGGAATGATGGAAGAAGACTTAAACTCAGGGTAAATCTGACTTTTGAACCCAGGGCCAGCAGAAGCCAAGGGATGCAACTCTGCACAATTTGTTCACGTTTCCTAACCTCTGCTCCTGACGTGCCTTAAACATTTGTTAAACAATCCCACTGTCACATCTCTTTTCGCTAAAATGGCCAAACGTTGAAATCTTTAAAAAAATTAAAATTCTGTTTTCTTTAACTTTAAACATACAGGAAAGGCCTCCTTCCCCATTTGATTGATAACAGGGTTAACTCATGCCCAAATGCGGGTATCTTATATACATTTTAACTTATAGTAAACTTTTACACTTTGAAATAATCTACCCTATAATTTATTTCCGTTTCATCATGTTCATTGACTCTCTGAAATATTAAATAACACCTTGAAAATTTTTCTGTAGGTCCATGCTGCAGAATGCCCCACACTTAGACACAGTTTACTGACTCGGAGCTAAACAATCCTTGTTTTAGTCCCTGAATGCTGAGGACCAGGCAGGGTAACAACAAGTTCCATTATTTAACGACTTTTGGTATGATGCGGCCTGGGATCGAACCCCCAACCTTCTGCTCTCAGGGCGAACCCCCTACAACTAGACCACAGAGGCAGTCTCCAACTTTGAATGGCATGGGAACAAACTAAAAGACAGCTGAACTTGTTGATCACTATATCACCCATCATTATGCATCATGGCGTCGCTTGCTGCACATCAATGAGATACTTACTTTCTTGACAGTATATCCATGTAGTTTGTCACCCTGCTTTATTGCTTTACGGACATCCTTTGCTGCAGTGCCATACAGTCTCGACCTCCTAGGGGGAAAAACTGATCTTCATATATTCTCTAAAACATTTCTTTTTACATTGATCACTGATCATGCTGATGTTATTGCTCCCATTTTGTTTCTAAATGTTTTGCTCCTTGGAGTTGCAGAATGTTGTTTATGAGTAGTTAACCCACAAGGAAATATTAACAATTTAAAGGTTTAATTTTACACTAACATGCCTAAGTTTGCCCTCATAAATCCATAATGCAAGTTTTTTTAATGATAATTTTTTAATACCTCCTCGAAATTGGTACAAAGAATCCGTAATAGAAGTACAAGAAAAAGAAATTAGTCCAGCCTAAATTTAATAATGTAAATAAGATTTTTTTTTTACCAATTTGTCGTCTATCAAGAGACACAAATAAATTTGCCAAAATATCAATCTACACATGCTTATCCATAATATTTTATATTATGGATTTTGTGATTAGGTTAGGGTTGTTTGAACAAAAACAGGTCAAAATAGGTTGAAAAATATTAATATTTCAGGAAGAAATGACAGACAGATTGTAAGCAAGGGCTAAATATGCATCATCTTCTTGTTCAATAATCATGTAACACCACATCTTTTCTGAAGTTCTATATAACCAAAGTGTTTATCGGGTTATAGCAAAAACGGCACCTCAGCAAAACGGCACCGATTGGCGAACACGACACCTTGACTCAAGCGAAAACGGCTACTATTGCCTGGCGAAAACGGCACCTTATTTCTTTTTACCTTGATCAAATAAGTGATATTAAACTTACATGGTGACTTGCAAACACCAATAATTGTGAGATGTTAAAACAAGTTTACATTTGAAATTAGCCTCTACTCCAACTATAATCCAACTTAGCTTATACGCAACTCAACTTATTGTGAAAACATAACATGCTTTGAAGAATTTTGAAATTGTGAAATAAAACAAGTAAGAAATTAGACCCCTACTCCAATGTACTTGCCGATTCTGATTGGGAGGCGCAGTTAACTTATTGTGAAAACATTATATGCTTTGAAGTTTTAAGAACCTTTACTTAATTTAAGCTGAAACTGTATTTAAGAGGCCTAACATGGTGCTGTTAGATCACAATTATTCACAATGGCCTTTCAATAGTGTTGCATGCGAGAAGAATGTCAGGAAAAAAAACATGCTGTATCATGTGATAACCGTGAGCATGTAAATAAACCATATACAGTCAAGTCTTACTACAAAAATCGTTCTTATCATTATTAAAAATAGAGGTGCCGTTTACGCCCGACACATGGTAGCCGTTTTTGCCAAATGCGGTGCCGTTTTCGCCAGAGAAACTGGTGACGTTTTGCTGAGGTGCCGTTTTAGACTGCACCCGTGTTTATCTGGTGTATTCTTAATAATTCAAAACAAAAATCACTTTTGCCATGTTTGCTGAATCATTTATTGTTTTTAATAGTTATCCCTTCTAATCTGCTGATGATTTGTTTGTTTGTTTGTTGGGCCTACCTTTAGAATACAGTACCACAAATGTTTCAAACACGTGACAATACCCTATGACGTAATTTGTAGTATCTTGTTGCCAGTCACACTGGCAAAACAATACCCTGTGACGTCAGGGGTCATCGAGTGTGCATAAGCCCCCCCTTAGTGATCTATCATCTCTACACGAAATGTCATTGAATACGCCAAGGGCTGTGGAGAGTTTTGAATATTTGTTCACTGAATATAGACTGCGGCGGCGCATTTTATAGCAAGCGCTAGTTTACAAAAGCACTTTTATTTTTTATATATTTTTTATTTCGTTTTTCTCGTAATTCAAGGGGCTAAAAGGGTTATAAATGGGAACTTATATACATATATTATTTTTTCAGTGCATTAATTTTCATTATTTTGCACAAGAATTTGGTTTATTAGGGATATTATTAGGGTTGGTTACCTCGAACTCTATCCTTAGCCCTTGGATCTCCTTAAAGATCAATCACCCCTTTTCGATCATTAGGGTTAGGTACCCGTTTAGTGGCTATTAGATTCCCCGAATTCTGTCCTTAGCCCTTGGATCCCCTTTACGATCAATCATCCCTTCACGATCATTAGGGTTCGGTAAATCTACCCGTTTAGTTTCTCCTAATATCATCACACAAACACATCGAGTAAAAAGAATTAAATGGTTTTGTGTCGAATACTTTGGCTACTGGAAACTGTCCTGGAACATTCACACAAGCCACTTTCACCGGCTAAATTTTTTTCAGTACTGATTCAAAAGCGAACTCACCATTGTGTCGTCACTAGCCATGCACATGCCTCCCTCGTGCTATTATCCACATTTTCCTTACAGTGTTCCCTACCATACGTTTCTGTCACAAAATCGACCCTACGATTTATTAAATAACACGTCAATCATGCGTACTCGCGAGTTCGACGTCTGACGTCTGACACCTTGAGTCGTTTTCAGTTCGCGCCATATCGGATCATTCCTCACCACTCGGTATCTTGTAGATTACGGAATGGGACGAGTGTGCCAAATGGCATCGGGATCATTCGTATGTGTCGATAGACTAAAGTCACAAGACACCATGCCTACCCATAACCTTGGTAAGGGTCCGTGACCTATTCGACCCTTTTTTCGTTCAGTTCCGTTACGTCGTAGGCATGACTAGGTAAATTTGCATTTTGTTTCACAGTGTGGACGTAGCTCAGTCGGTTAGGTGTCGTGCTAACAATCTGAAGGTCGTGAGTTTGCGTCTGACGGATTCTCACAAAAACTGGTTGCTTGTCTTTGAGACATGTGACCTACGGCAGAGACCCTCCTCACGAGAAGTTGTGGTACTGTATTCTAAAGGTGCTCTGTTTGTTCTTTAACATGTTTAACACCACACAAAGCAATATTCCAGCTATATGATGGCGGTAGGTAAATAATCGAGTCTGGAACAGACAATCCAGTGAATGACATCATGAGCATCGATCTACTCATTTGGGATATGATGACATGAATCAACCACGTCAGCGAGCCCGGCCGCAACAAGCATAGTCGCCTTTTATGGCAAGCATTGTTGTGGTACTGTATTCTAAAGGTGCTCTGTTTGTTCTTTAACATGTTTAACACCACACAAAGCAATATTCCAGCTATATGATGGCGGTAGGTAAATAATCGAGTCTGGAACAGACAATCCAGTGAATGACATCATGAGCATCGATCTACTCATTCGGGATACGATGACATGAATCAACCACGTCAGCGAGCCCGGCCGCAACAAGCATAGTCGCCTTTTATGGCAAGCATTGTTGTGGTACTGTATTCTAAAGGTGCTCTGTTTGTTCTTTAACATGTTTAACACCACACAAAGCAATATTCCAGCTATATGATGGCGGTAGGTAAATAATCGAGTCTGGAACAGACAATCCAGTGAATGACATCATGAGCATCGATCTACTCATTTGGGATACGATGACATGAATCAACCACGTCAGCGAGCCCGGCCGCAACAAGCATAGTCGCCTTTTATGGCAAGCACTGGTTGTTGAAGAACCCTGATCTGCTAATGAAAACGAGTTGCGATCATGTGTGCGCTATGACAAGATGTTGGCAATGACCGGCCCTTGGCCTTTGACATAATGGGTCACTATCCAGCATAAGTAAATAGTGTTTATAAATAGGTATCTATCCTGGAACTATATAATTGCAAACAGAGAAACGGACAATTTTTAACTAGGGATTAAAACATGATTATGGCATTAACTAAAAACACGCCAACCAATAAGTCCCCAGCACTCTCCCACTACTTGTGAGGAGTCGCATTCTCCGTATACTGTTGAAACAACGTGTCTTCTTCAATAAAGAGAATCCGTATCAAACGGCTTATGCAACACGTCCTTCGTGCTCCAAAGTCAAGTCATGTTTAACATGGGCGCTGCCATATTGTAGTTTCGCGGTAAATATCTCCCCCAACGAAAAATACTTCCTAATATATTATATGTCAATAATTACACTGAATTTATTATACCTAAATTCACTATTAACTATTTCCTATTTGATACATTTCATATATACTCCCGAACCTCAGCGCCGTTACTGTAATTGTTTTGCTTCCGGGTCAGGCGGAAGTTGATCACCTGTCAGAAAGTGCTAAGTTGTCACTTCAACCAGATTGTTTACTTTCGTTGCAAATACATAAACGATGCCGACGTAAGGAGCCGGAAAAGACCAATTTTGCTTTTTGTATGAAAGGTTGTACATGCTTTATCATATTTGCAACTGTGTTTTATACATGTGTTATTTAGATCTAGTCCACCTATCGTCGTATCATTGGGAAAACCCTCATTTTGTTATTTCAGTAGGCTAATTGTCGCAGTGAACTTTGCATGACCTGACATTCACCCTGCTCAGCTGGCACATAGATTAGATCAAATCATTTCCTGTTCGAACAAAATGTTATTTGAAATTTCATAGTCACACCAGGCGTTGGGGTCGTAATTTAATTATATTTGTTTGTTGTCAATTCTTACTTGTTATGTATTCAGTTAATATTAACGAGAAACCCTGTTTGTCTTGAGCCAGAAGACGCTTTTACGGAAACCCTATTGTCTGGACAATAACATCAATATTTTAGTTGCAGTGACTACTATACCTACCCTTGGTTTGTTAATCACCTTGAATCATGACGTCTGGATTAACAAGGGTTTCACTGTGTAAAAGTACCGCTTTCTTGGCTATTGGTTAAACCTAAAGTTGTGCATGTCCACACAATTTTATTTATTCATACACGAAAACTATGCGGATCAGCATAAGAAAGTATAAAAGAAAGCTGCATATTGTTGCATTCGGTGGTGTTTCACTTAGATGTGTTTGAGTTTCATGATAAATGGACATGACATGATCTTCTTATGTAATAACATATTGTACTACTATTCTAATATCATTTATTACGTTAATCTCCAAAATAGGTTAATTGTGACTTTTCATAAAGCACCGCCAGCTTATTTTGTGTGTTTGGACCCACTTGACTTTGTTATAAGACATGATATCCAACTTCACAATTGTAAACTTTGGCATAGCCATATTTCACTTCAATATTATGTAATCAAAATTTATTTTGTATTATTTAATAGATGATAATTGTTTCGTTTTGTGAAATATGTTTTGAAGAGGGTAGAGGGACAGCACTTCTTTTGGACTCATTTTTGGTAGATTTTGGATCAGGTCACTCTAAGGTTCTCTTGGTCAAGGTCACTTCAAATAGAGACCTTCTTTAATTTGGCCTCAACCCGTTCAATGCTGTCAATGTTGAATATTTGTTTGACCAGCAGCAGCACACCTAGCAGCACAGGTATCCAGTATAAAATTCCAAGCAAACTGGATGCTCACTAAATTAAACATGTTAGAGGAAATAATATCTGTTGTTTTTTTAACAAAAAGACCTAATACACACCAAGTTGTTAGATACAGTGATCGCTCGCTATTGCGCTCTTCGATAAAGCACTACTTCGGTTACTACGCGCGGTAACCCATGGCTCCAAAAATTTATGTACACTTTTAATACTGAGAGTTTTACACAGACATGATTGTATTGTTGTTCATTTGCACATAACACTTCTCATTGCATAATTAACCGTGGAAATACGATTGTTCTACTAGTTAACTTTTCACACTATACATCCTTTGATCTTAGAAGCTCATGCATGCAATAAAAGAGAACCACAAGCGAAGTTCATATTCTTAATTAGTGGGCAATCCAATTTGAGGCGGCACTGTCAACTCACATGTGGTTGCTGTCACAACACGACGGTCATTCCTTTTGATTCAGATCAAGTAACCGTATCAAACCAATTAATCTGGCTTGACATATGTTATGTAATATCATCAATATTCTAATACCATCTTGCCGGGGCATGGGAGTAAACTGACTTTAAAAGTCCAGTTTCCGCCCTTGGTGAACTAGGCCGGAATTATGGAGATATATTTTGTTCAATAAAAATACTGTAACAAAATCATCATTCGGTTTGTAAACTGCCGTGCAGATTTCGGTCGTTTGCAGGATTTGCAAAGCATGTGTACCGTCAACTTAATGTCAACAGATATTTTCAAAAATATTTTTTTGCTTTTTTATCAAGGTGCTCATATTGCAAAGTAAGACCCGTTTTAATACAATATAGATCTTGATTATTGATTAGATCGTCTTCCCTGAGCGCCGCCATTTTGTTTGAAACAAATGCAAGTGATATGAGAGGTGGTATCTGATTGGTCAATAGGAGGGACATAGAAAGCACATACTCGTAATAGCCCAGAAATTCCAGCCTATTTCGGCAAGGGTGGAAACTGAACTTTTACAGTCAGTTAACTCCCTTGCCTTGGGAAGATGTTCTAAAACAAGATGTACATTAAACATTTACATCCTCTAATTTCAGAAAGTTATGTGGTATGTGATGGAGAGTGCACAGCAAAACTACCACTTATCGGAACGCCTTATTAGAGCCATCAGCAATTGGAGGACCTTCGCTGGTGCTAATGATGATGTGGAGCATCTGATTGATCTTGGTGCTGATGTTAATGGAATCCATGGCACTCTACTGCCACTGCATTGTGCATGTATGGTCAGTGACAGCAGCTGTCTCCGTCTCCTGCTACAGAAAGGAGCTAGGGTAAATAGCCTTGATCATGTTGATGTAGTGGCCATAAAATTTCCGAGTTCTGTGATAGGATTCAAACCAAGGACCTTCAGATCCAAGGTTGGTGCCTTGTCCACATTACCAAAGAGGTTAACCCTGACAGCAAGCCAACAAGGGAAGGATGTCATCAGTGTCTTAGCTCCACTCCCTGCTTCATACTCTCTCTCCCTCCCCCTGTCAACAGAAGACACATCCTGCGCCACATTGTAGGGTACTGAGATATATTTTCCTCAAATTGAATGTGAACATGCTCAGCCCCACATTGGGCACCAGTGTAGCAGGCTTTCAAAGATAAGCAAAAAGGGAATGGGTAAACAGGTGAACAAGGAGACATCCTTTCCAACAAAAAGATTTTTGGGGTCTTTCTTATGTGTGTCAGTCAGGTTTTCAATATTGAATATCTGCAAACTCTGTTGTAATCAATGGGACTGGCCATCATGTTGTTGATATCGCCAACCCAACTTGCATTCTGATTGGACCCTTAGACTGAGTAATGTAGCAAATCAAATTGTAATTTGAGATCGTGAAAACCTCCAGAATGGATCAAGGGGTAGTGTATGTTTACTGAAATAGGAGCACTGGAGATGAGGATGAGGAGGAAGGTGACAATATACTTTTTGCGCAGAATAATTCATGAAATAAACTTTGTCTTTCAGAGAAATTGAACTAGTTGAAAAGGGTATTATCACTCTCAATGAAAAAAAAGGGGAAAACTTTCTAATTTATAACTGTTTGTTGTCTAGCTTCAGTGAAATGGCATTTTTTGGCACATATCAATTCTGAAGGGCAGACCTAACCATCTTTACGAGTGCTCCGTGGCAGAAATGACATTTCTCTTCATGTTCACAATGCAGGTAAACGAGGTTGATGGTTATGGTCGGACCGCTCTCCACTACGCTGCCGAGAGGGACATCTTCTGTGTGGAGGTGCTGATGCAGCATGGAGCCGACCTCAACGCCGGGGATGGGAACCAAGATACCCCCTTACACTGGGCAGCCTACAAAAACAATGTCGCCTGTGTCAAACTCTTATTGCAAAATGGTGCTGATGTGGATGGACGAGATTATAATGAAGACACTCCTCTAGCCTGGGCAGCAAGGAAGGGTCATTTGGAGATTATCAAAATTCTTCTAGAATACAACGCCAATGTTGACAGGAAAAATCTAATGGGTGACACACCTCTTATACGGGCTGCATCCATTCAAGCGAGCGGTCTCAACACCGATCTTGATGACGCAGTATTGGAGTTGCTGATTAAAGCATCTGGGCAGTTTGACCTGCGGAATAACAGAGGGGAGTTAATCGGGAATATAGGTCAGGATAATAAGATGACTGAACTGCTGCTTCCACTGTGCAAAAATACAAAGAAACTCCAAGACCTCTGTCGCCATTGTATACGACGTTGCCTTGGTTACCACTACTTACCAAACAAAGTTCCCACACTTCCCTTGCCCCTTCAACTGCGCGATTATATTTTACTTCGTCGGTGATGAGATTGTCATGGATTTTATTCAGGAATCATTTGTATGATTGGGATTGGTTTTACCATGTTTATTATTACTTTGTTTTTGAAGGTGGTCCTCATGTTTTAAAAGATTTCTTCATCATAATGACTGGCACAGTCAACTGGTACATTTGGATGCAGGTCAATATATTAGAAATAGCTCAAACCAATATATTTCATCCATTTACCGTTGTTTATTTGTTGATGGTTATTCTCTGAATGACAAAACCATTGTTAACAACTTATCAAAATCTTTGATTTTTGGCCCTTCGTCACTTGGTATACACATTTATGGTTTCCCCAGTTTCATTGAAGGAATTCTAGGGAGATTTGGGTGTTCTCAAATCCACAGTGAGTGAGTCAGTTTTGTATAACATGGCTTAGCAATAACGTAAGCTCTATCTTCTGCATATGGAGCTAATATCAGAACAACCAAATTAAATCTTTCCTCCGTCCCAATCAACAAACTGTTCTTAGCACTAAGACAATCGTAAGTCAACATTGGGAATGTGAGTTACGACAGTCGCAGCCCTAAGCGATCTTAGTGCTAAGACAATCGTAAGTTTATGTTTAAGAATGAGAGTTACGACAGTCACAACCCTAAGCGATCTTAGTGCTAAGACAGTCGTAAGTTTATGTTTAAGAATGAGAGTTACGACAGTCGCAACCCTAAGCGATCTTAGTGCTAAGACAGTCGTAAGTTTATGTTTAAGAATGAGAGTTACGACAGTCACAACCCTAAGCAATCTTAGTGCTAAGACAGTCGTAAGTTTATGTTTAAGAATGAGAGTTACTACAGTCATAGCCCCAGGAATGCTGGTGTGGAACAAGACCCAAATATTTTTAGTCTGTTACGATACCTCTCCTTGCGAAACTGAAGCTGAACTGCATTAAGAAGCTGACATCTGATTGTCTAAGAAGCCATGCATTCTTCATCAATAAAGATTGAGTGGTCAAAGTTCTCTCAGGGTTCACCTAAGGCGACCTTCTATGGAAATGTCCTCAGATCTTTGGGTGAAGAGGTATCGTATCTGAGTACAGGATCTGAATTCAATGAGATTGATATTTATCCGAAACTTTACTTACACCCATCCACTGCTGGAATACTGCTAAAAGCAGAGTAAAACCATACTCACTTCAAAAGCTGTTTGGTTTTTTGTTTTAAATGTTTAAAAAGGAAACAAATTTGTTGAAATTGTTGATATGGTTAACATGGTTAAAGGGGAAATAAATAAGAAATTAATTTCCCTTTCTATGTTTTTTAAAAATATTTTATTCAGTCTGTTTTGTTCATGTTCATTGTTTATGAAAACGTAATTAGTGTGTGTGACCTTTCCATGATGATCTACTTGAATGTTTCTCTCATTGTTTTGGTGAAAGATTAGTAATTTGCAAAATATTAGGTTAGTGAATTCGTAAACCAAGTAATAACATGGAGTAGCAAGGTTATACCCAGTGTATGAACATAATAATTGTGTCGACATGTCCATTCTTGGTAGTATTGTACAATGGTACTCTGGTATCAATCAAGCACTATGATAATGAGGGCTGTCAAAACTGATTAATATGTTTTTCATAGTTCCAAGTATTTTCCATGAGAGAAAATTGCGTTGATTTTTTCATTTGTATATTACAATATGACTTCTTCTTAAATCATGTATGTTTGGTAAGATTGTGTGAATTATTTCAGATGATAAATTAATGGATCATTTTAGTAAAAGGCTCAATATTGAACATGTTGAATACTATTCTGTGATCATGCGATACAAGTTTATACTGTTGAACCAAAGATCATGCAAGCCCCCGCCTTGAGAGTCATGAAACTGTTGGTAACATCATACCAGTACTTGTCATAATACAAGGGAACATCCTCCTCAAATATCCAGTGTATTATGTCGCCATTCTTTTTTTTATAAGTACCCTGGACCCATTTGCTATCAGAGCTTCATTTTGGATGTGACGTTACCATGGTTCCCATCTCCCGCTCTTATCACTTAGCACAGAGTTTCTTAGTTCATGAGCTTGAAAGCAACAACCAATCAAAAGGCCTCTTCTGAATTCTTTTGAGTTAGGCATAGACCAACATTTAAAATCACGGCCTTGTACGAGCATATATATTTAACTGAATGAGGAGACTGTCAAGCATTTTTGCTGGAAATGGAATTTCCTGGGTGGTGCTGGTGGGAGTCCTGAAGCTACAAGATGATCACAGTTTTATGTTAACGTCAAGTTGAGCTGAATGCTGGTAATATCTTATTTTAGTAACTTGGGTAATTTTAAATATGGAATTTGATTGGACGGCTGTTTTTGTATTTCAAACCAGAATCTAAACAAAGCCAGGCTCCAGGTGCAGGGTATATTACAGCATTGGAGTTATAGAATGGAGACAGGATGTCTGGATGATTGAAGAGAGGGAACTACAGCCGCATGACTTTTTATATACACAGTAGATGGCAGGATTTGCCAATACTGGAAGTGTTATCATGTAACTTGCATATTATGTGAGGTAGAAATCTGTGTCATTACTTCACAGGTTTGTTTATACTACATTCCTGCATGATCCATGAATACATATGGCTGCTTGGCTGTGTAGCAAAAGCCTTGGTCCAGCTAGAAGAACGCCGGCAAGTGCTCACACCGATCAGCTCCAGTGCACAGACAGCAATTTGCCTTGCTTGACAACATGTACCAAAGCCTTGAGGATGTCTTCTCTACAGACTGCCTCAAAGTTTGGCAGTAGTAGGGTTTACACAATGTTCATGTATGGAATATGACTCATTTGACACCAATGAGTTATTAACAGGCTCATATCATTAGCTTGCTAAAAGTAGACATGCATCACTACCACCTAATGAAGTGAAAGTTTTGAAGTATTCCTGTCTGGTATGATAAATACCCTGAACCAAACCTCGCCATAGTGTCGTGTTGAGACCAAATCAACAAAAGTGAGAGAAAATCTTTGTAAGTTTACTGATTAGACTGATGGAGCTAATGACTCTTTCTATACAAAGCTAAGGTAGAGAATGGGTTCAGGATGTTATCATAACCATGGTAACAGAATGGAAATTAATACACTGCATTATTGTGATGGGTTTCAGTATTACATATCAATACAACACAAAGAGTTTGTTGGATAGTGTTGACATACTTTGTCTGCCTGTCATTATTTTGTAATGGCCACAAGCTGATTTTGTACCATGGTGCTCATTTCTACATCATTATTTTGTCACAAGTCTCAGTGGTTCATAGCCTACCCTATGATGTATGGTTATAGGAAACACTCTGTGCCGCGGTGCTGCTTAATCCTGTCAGTGGTAACCCCATTAACTTGTCATGGGCACATGGTGTTAGGTGTTCTTGCATGACAGTCTTACCATAGTTACATCTTTGTGTGCTTATGTTCCTAAGCTTCTAGAATATGCAGGTCAAATCCGAGATTTAGAGTGGCATTCTTGTCCTTGGTCTGTCATCTGTGGTAATGGCTTCTTTGGAATGAAAAAATAATATTTTTGTAAAGACAAATTCAGCATTATCCCCCACCTCTGATTGTCTGATTGTCTAATATGAAACTCCACCCACGCCCACTGAAGTTTAGAATTTGAAATATGAAGCCCCCTACAGGAGGTCTTCCTCTTCACATTCAGCTGACATATTGTGTCACAAACCTGGGTTCCAACCCAAATTCACTCATAGACAAGACCATAATCACTTGCATGGTTGTTGTGAAAGGTTTTCTCTCATGCCCAAATGCAAATATCAGAAAGGAAACATTGTGTTTTTCATGTTCTCCCTTTCAATGCTCTTACCTTGATGGTGATCGAGGTAGAGTATGGGACTACAACCTGTTCATGGTCCCAGCTAGGATAATACCTTACAAAATGCTAATGATTTGATATCAAATTTTTATCTCAGTACAACAAGACTATACAAAAATTATGCCCATACTTTGGTGTATAAACATGTGTATAACATGTAGAGCAAAGTATAAATATTCATCATCTTTGGTAGTGTTATACATTGCATATGAGGATCCGTGTTAGAATTTGTCCTCGGGAGCCCATGCACTTGTCTAAGTTTTGTATTACATGGCTTTGCAATAATAATAACTGTGTCTTGGCATGATGATCCAGTGCCACAACCATGAGGGTGATCAACTGGATCGGGTGGTCAGGCTAGGTTCATTGCATGTCACCCTATCACAATTGCTGAGATCAATGCTTTTGATGTCAATCACTTGATTATCCTGTCCAGATTTGATTATTTGCTGACCATTATCATATAGCTGGAATATTGCTGAGTGCGGCTTTAAACAACAAACAAACAGATTAAAGGTTCAAATATTTTACTTTAAACATTAGGATTACGACAATGACCCTTGCCTTTCGTTCATAATTTGAACACTGCTGGGTTTTGCATTTTCCTCTGGAGAAATGATATTACAAAAAGTATTTAAGAAGTACCACAGGAGTTTGCTCATGTTGGATCATGTTGACGAGTTACCATGGTTACGAATAAATGATCATTTTCATCAGAAAGGAAATCAAAGTAACAATTTCAAATTTTGTGATAATGACACAAACTCATTGACTTTGTATTGTGGGCCCCATCTGCATAGCATTTGTAGCACTACACCTGTCATAACCCCATAGTGTAACAAGGACTTATGAGAGTTGATTGGTAAGTTCTGAGCCTCCCATTGAAAGACTTTGACGTAAATATATAAAAATGATATATCAGCTTCAGACAGAGCTAGATTATCCCAAGACATGTTGTGTCTGGTGAGTTTTTGATCAGATGTCAGAAGCTTTGGAACCCTATTAGCCAATACTTTCTTCATTGCCAAGAATGTACTGTACTCTCCTTTGAAATGCCTACTGAACTAGCAATATGATGCTAAGTCATTCGCTGTCGGTCATCACCATGTCATTGATTCAAGGCTTTCCCTCTCCAACATTTTATGGCATTATAGAAAGGAAGTTCCTTTCCTAGGGTTGTACTCATATCTTCATGGATGGCTTTTGGTGTTATTCCCTTTTTGTATAAATACTCAATGACTGCCCATTCCTCAATTTTGTCCATTTTCCAATGGTCACAGACCCCTGTTTGTTTTATGGGCTTGTCACAGCAAAACAATTGTTCAGTTGACTCATACTTTTGTGGATATTCCTCCAAAACATGTAATGTCAACAACAACAGATTTCACTATCATGCAATTCCTTCTCTATGATGCTCAGAACTTATCACTCAACAGTGTAATATAGACTTACAACTGGATTAACTTGTGTAGCATAGACTTAGGTCTGTCATAACGCTACCAACACTTTGTGGATTGGGCTCCTGTTTTATTAGTTATTAGTGATGTATATGGATGTACATGGATATAGGACTGTACAAGCATTTGTCATTGGTGAAATGATTCTATGGAGATTTATCATTCATGGATAATAATTTATTCCTGCTGGTTTTGAATGTTTTATTTACACTGTTACATAATAGCATTTCTATGGTTATGCTTCCATGACATCAGATTTCAGGGCAAACAATATCCACAGAACCCTATGCTGTACAATACAGGGCCCATGCAGTCGTCTAAGGCGCCGCGATTCGCTGTGCAGAGTTGCGTCCCTTGGGTACACCAGAAACCTATGATTGTGGGTTTGAATCCCGGTTCGCCCCGATTATGTTTCTAGGTTTGTCAGCACCATACCCGTGCTCGTGGGTTTCACCGAAGTGGTAAACGTCTGAGACCTGCATCACTTCGGGCTTTCCTCCCACATTAAGCTGACACGCCGTGTTATAACTGGAAAACTGTTAAAAGCAGCGTTAACCCCAACTCACTCACTCACTCCCTGTACAAAACAGTGAGATTGGTTGGTTGGTCCTAATGGCTGCTGAGGTTTATTACGACTTGAATTGGTTACTACAGGGAAGTTTTTCAGCTGAGGAACAGCTGATTGCACACTTATCATTATCATTTACACTTGTCAGAGGGGTACACAAAGTAAGTGATCTAGACTACCACTTGTCAGACTTTCATTTTTGTGGAAGCCTCGGTGGCTGAGTGGGTTAGATCACTGACTTTGTGTGCTGGCAATTAGGTGCCTTACTCTGGCGGTGTGGGTTTGAATCCTGGACAGAACTTAACCCAAAAAAAATTTCAAGAATCTGTACTTTACTAAGAAAGTGTTATCCCAATTTTTTTTTTTTATTTGTTACAGCTAATTGTATGTCATCATACCCTTAGAGCAGGTGGGTTCTACACAGCCACTAGTCTGCATTTCTTGTTTGACTTTAACGATGCACTTGGCAATATTCCATCTATATTATGGCGGGCAGTATAATCAAGCGTGGGCCAGACAAACCAGTCACTAAAATGAGCTAAATCCCACGCCGTCCGGGTACAATGACATGCAGTCAGCTAAGTTATTGAATCTTACAACCCAATACATTTCAGACGCTTCTTGACAAACATAGGTTACTGGGGACCAGTTCTAACCTAGAATGCAATGCTTGTCCATGTAGCCTGGCTAGTAAAAAGTTGAAAGGGCAAGTAGTTTCTCCCAAAATGTATTAACATAACAGAAACACTTAGTCTGGAATGAGGTGAAATGAGTACTAGTTGGATACAGCCCACTGTGTCTAAGCATGGATTGGTGCTTTCTCCACTGACCACTCGTTTGTCAGGTGCAGGCCTAACATATCACCAGCTGCAGGGATATATATAATATTGATGACTGGCATCATACTACTTAGTCATTTATCCTAAGAAAGGCATCTGAACAGGCATCAGTACCAGTTTGCAGTACAGCATGACCTTTTAATAGTTCATGGAGAATCTGATTATCACAAGTTAAATATTGTACTGTCCCTAAACAGAAATTATATTTTCTTGAGTTCTCAGTTTGTGAAATGAAATTTTCTGATTTTGTACATATTTATGGAATTTTACGAAAGGTTAAAATCAGGGAGCAACCATTTCATTTTCAGGAGGAGGGGGCAAAATATAACTACCCTGTTTGACTGAAGTAAATATACATATGCCTTGCAGTGTAGGAAAATAAATAGTGTCCTTTTCTTTCTGGCAGATTATAATCAAGTGTCCAAAGAAAACATTCAATTAATGTGACTTCTTTTTTTTAAATGAGCACTTTTTTTTGTTGGAAAAAATAATTGAGCTCTAAAAGCTTAAAAGAAAAATGTTGATCTCAAACCAAAAACTCTCCTCCCAAAAGTCAAACGATATCTCCCTAACCCTAGATCCATGAACTGCTGAAAGTTAACTTTCATATAACTTTAACATACTTCAGTGTGAAAGACTTTGTGAACATGCCCCTTTGATATTTCACTGCAGTGAACATAACACTTTGATAGAACTATTGTCATATAAGAGTTACCTCCCCACAAATTGTCTCCCTTTATCGCAAGTGTCTTGCCCGCACACAAACTGTTGACTGCCATTTTACGTTAGTTCAACATTGATATGGCAAAATTAGTGACCATTGATCATTTGTGGAGTTAATATCACTTCTTGCTGTTTGTTATTCTCTTAAAGTTTTGTTATCAACTAAATTTCTCATTTAACTCATCAATTGAAACTGTTCGTTTCGCAAAGCGCAATTATTATTTTTTATTTGACCAGCATGGATTCCTTTGCTTCCAACAGCAGTCTCGTAGCTTTCAAGAATATATTTTGTTGATTTTAATCATATCAAAAGGTATTTTTAAGGTTTGGCAAACTCGGAACTGTTTTAAGTTGCAATACAAGTATGGATAAATTACGATTCAAGGTTTTACATTTGTAATGAAAAAAGTTAATTTTCTGATAGACAACTACACAAAAAGTATATAATAAATACAATATTCCAAGTGTCTCATGAAATAACATGTTTCTCACATCTTGTGATGCCTCTATATATGCGAGTTTGTTTTTGTTACTGTCTTGTTTTCCTTATGATCATCACTTGTTGCTTTGAACTATGTGACTAGCACAGCTGAGGGATATAAGTGGGATGGATTTTCCCCATGCTAAATAGAACTCATGTTCAGAGAGAACCAAAATGACTTCTAAATCTGATTAAATCCAGGTTTCATCATATTTATGAATGGTTGTGCATTTTTCGAATTATTCTGTTACGCTGGTTAATCTCTGATGTTTTAACTATAATTTGTTCTGCATTGTTTTGTTTTCATGATATGAATGTTTGTTATAAATTTTCCTCCAATTAATGGGATATGTTGGTAATGAAAAATGTAAACTAGATATTTATGATCGGCAATCGTGTGATTAGAGTTTTAATTTGATTATTCATTACTTGCGTATGACTATGGGTGGTACTCTGCTGCAGTCAGCACAAAGAACTCATTTGGCAGATATTTGTTGCTGTTTTTTAATAAATGCAACACAATACATTTTAAATACCAATTACTTTGATTTGTATGTTGATCAGACAGGTTGCATTGAATTAACAAGTGCTCTTGCACAGATCTTATCAACAGACATTTTTTGTCAGAAATAATGGGTCATGGAGGCCCAATCTTCTCAGGTGCCACAATTCAATTTGCTGTGCAGAATTGTGTCCCTTAGCAGCACTGGGATCCGTTGATTATTATAAATGTCAAGATGGAACCGCAACTTTTATAGTCAGTTATCTCCCTTGCCAGGGGAAGATGGTCGGAACCATGTGGGTTTTACCACATGTGCTTAATGTCTGTGCACTACATTACTTCAGGTTTTCATCTAATATTAAGATGGAATGTTAATGTAATTGAAATACTGTTCAGAGTTAAGTCACGATCATATATGCAATACTCATGTTATGCACAAGGAATATGTGTCTGTAGGATTGTACTGCATCATTGTCCTTGGTTAGTTCAGTTTTTACTTGTGACATATACCATTTTCACCCTGTATCTTGCACCTAGGACTTCCTCTACAAGTGTTCCTGGCTGTGACATGTTGATATTTTATGTACAAGACATTGGTTTCAGGAAGTCATGTGAATCATTAAAGGTGGATAGTGCTATTTTCATTTTGTTTTTTCCCCCCAAGGCCACAAGTCTGAACCTATTGTTCTGTTGTTCAGACTTGCTTAAAAACATTTATTCCAACTTTTGATTTCTAGACAAAAAATTAAACCCATATAAAATTTCAGTTTGATCCATGAATCAGTTATTAAGATTACGTACACCACATGTGATAAACTGTCTGGCGCTTTCGGCCAGGTGAGCTGGGATGCAAGTGGAAAACATTCAAAGGACAAGCCACTACTTTTTCCACATTGTAACACTAAGTATTTTAAATTTGTTGTAAAACCATGTTATTGTGAGTGAGTGAGTGAGAGTTGGGTTTAACGCCGCTTTTAACATTATTCCAGTTATATCACGGCGTGTCAGCTTAATGTGGGAGGAAAGCCCGAAGTGATGCAGGTCTGAGACGTTTACCACTTCGGTGAAACCCACGAGCACGGGTATGGTGCTGACAAACCTAGAAACATAATCGGGGCGAACCGGGATTCGAACCCACAATCATAGGTTTCTGGCGTGCCCAAGGGACGCGCGGCGCCACCCGTGCCCCCCCCCATGTTATTGTGTATGGAGAGATAACTGTAAATACCGGAAGTGATAACGGTAAACACTGTCTGTGTGTTGGGGAAATTCTGATGTTGCTAGGATATCTGGTTAGGTGGTGAGGATGTAACAGAGATTGTGGTGATAGCAGTTTGAGTCTGGATTTTGAATATACAAGTTGTGTTGCACGAGCAGTGTTACAATCTTTAAATAGCATGGAGCTGGTAGTCCAAACACAAGATGATATGCAGAGCGAAATATGTATGGAACAAAGTTGAACAACGCCGTTATTTTAAATAATGTTTTAATTTTACATAATAAACTGGCTCTTCCTTATTGGGCAATATAGGTTTGGGTTCTTATCTGCTTGAAACATTTAATGCTGCAGTTCATGTTGAGTCAGATGATAGCATGTTTAAAGTGGGACACCCTTCAAGCATTACACCATCACATGTTTAATATGAATAATTCACTCAACACCTCAACATAAAAATAACAAGGGCTTATCTACCTGTCCGAAGGGCGGGGAGGAGGAAAGGAAGCATCAGTGTCCCTGGTTTTCCAACAACTTGACACTGTTGTGTAACTAACTTTGTGAGTACTCATAATATCAGGAATAACTTCAGGGACAAGTATATGGCACAAAGCATCGCTGAGTGTAATCTTCACGAAGCATTCTAGGTGTCTTGCTGGCAGATGCTGCCGTCATATCCCATTTCAAGCAGGTTGTGTTTGAAACTGTCACACCACTTCCACCAGGGGAAAGGAGTAGAGAGGTTCCCATCACCAAATCATGGGTCACACATAGTTCCATGGACATTTTATTGAACACAGAAAATGTATTATTTGTAGCACTCTTCATGCTCACAGGCTTAAAAGTACTTGTCATATAGAAGAATGAACTTTCCAATCGAACATTTTTTTTAAATTACCGGCAGTCTAAATATGGATGACGATCCTGTTATCAAGTATCGTAAAATAAGGGATCAGCACTAATGTATATACAAAACTGTTAAATCAAACATTTCAAATGCTATTACTTTCAAATGGAAACACTTAGATTTTAACATATCAAATTTTTATCATACCTTAATTAACAAACTCAAAATCTTTAAGATATTAACAATTTAAAATGCTGAAATCTGACTGCCTTGAAATGAAACCATTTCATAAATCTCTTCCACATGCTATGTACAAGTCAGGAAAACTAGCCTGTTATGAACAATGCCTGTACAAACATTAACATTTTGTCAATCAAGGCGTAAGTACTCAGATTTATTCCACATATTAAACCCAGAAATATTCTGAAAAATCTTCAAATTCCAACGGAGGTCCTTTTTTCTCCTCTTCATTGTCCAGTAACACATTCTCATTCGTCCAGGTAAATGTTTAGATGTTTTTTAATCGCTCAAGTCTAAGGTGTCCAAGTCTTCATCTAGAGCATCTATATCATCTCCAGCAAATAAATCTTCATCAATTGGCATGTCAGCTATTTCTCCATTGACTGTAGCAGCCACAGCAGCAGCTATTGCAGCATCGGTACCCGACGTCTCTTTATCACCACTGCCTCCATTTTCCTCAGGTAGTGCTCCAGCAATATCTAGCTTTTTGCCCTCTTCTGAAGATAAATAAACATGATCACATGTTTATCTGTTTCATCTCTTTTTGATAAGACTTCAAGAACAACTAGTTTCTACATAGAAGGGGGAGAAAATCTCAAAGAAATGTAGAAGGCTTTCAATTGTACTAAAACCTGAGCAGTTACCAAACAAAACAAGGCATCAACAGTGCAACAACAAATAATCAGGTCTTCAATCAAATTTATAATAAAATAATTTTCCCAAAATGCTTTATCAATTCAGGCACATTAAAACATGTTACCACAATATGAAAAATACTGGTTTCAATACATTCCGGGTTTAATATCTTACACCATGTTTATGACTACTACATGATTACCTCCCTTACATACTGAATTTGATAAAGACATATTCCACCCATATTGTGAGAAATTTTAAGATAAAGGAGACCAAGTATGACCTGTTATAAATAATTGTTTCAAAAAGTAGAAATGCATATTCAAATACTGATGAGTCTCCAAGACATTTCAGAAAACTGTAACTGACTTTGGAACCAATACCTAAATTCTAACAGCTCATATCAAGACAGAAAACAGTCCTAGAGCAAATTCTTAGCTTTTGTTGTGAAAGTATATCACACCTAAAGCAGGCACACCAGAACTGATGATGCAGAATGTCACATGGGGAGAGAGTTAGTTGGATTTACACTTTACAGTCATTGTACCCTGGTGTAAGTTGCTCATAATATCAACCTTTTGCTTTTTCCTGGACCAGAGTTGAATTTTACAGGTTGCTATGATATAGCTAAAATATTGTTGCCTTCAGTTTGCCCCCCCCCCCCCCTCCAAATGCAACAAACCTTCTTCCACAGTCTTTTTGGCTTCTTCCTGTATTTGTTGAATGCGAGCATTCTGCTGCTCTTCTGTCATCTGCGTCCCTGTCCCATCAGCCTCCTTTGCCATGGCCGTGACATTGCCATCATCCAAATCTACCAATCTGGCCTCCTGAAAATAAAATAAGTACATGTAAAAGAAATCGACATCTGAAGAGATGACATGGACTCTTTGTGAGAGCTTTCACATTTCCCAGCAGTGATGTCATGGACACTTAGTGGCAAAGGGAGATAACTCACCTCTTCCTCGTTCTCTTCTCGCATCAACACCCCATCACCTGCTTCATCATCATCATCAAAGACAAGGTCAGGATTGAATTCAAACATCTGCCGACCTGAGATCTGAACATGAAACAGAAAAGGGGTTTTCACAACATAACATAGAAAAGAGTGCAAAGTCCATACTCCATAACAAATCCTTCAAAGTTGACTGTACATAGTTAATAACATTAAATGCATTCTATGCAATGCATAAAGTCTCAGGCCACTGCAAATTCCTAGAGAAGCCTTCTGTGACACACGTTACTGAAAACACATTTTAAGAACTAGAACTGATTTGTTTCCCCAGGAGATAGGCCGACCCTTCACAAAAGTTTCAACCAAACTTATATAAGAAATATTGCACAACAGAAATTTATTTCTAATTGCAACTAAACTGGTAAACAAAAATCTGTAAACAATAAAATAAACAGTGTGGCATCTGATGCAATGACACAACACACTGCTTAAAATTAAGCATGAGAGTCCAAGGGTCCTTGCTATAGCCCTAATGTTAAGAGATTTAGGCAGTCCCTAGATTCAAATATGACACATGAAATACCTGGAACCTCCCTAATTTTAAAACACGGCAACTCATCGAAGCCACCAATGATTGCCGCTTTTCCCAAAAGCATATCCATCCTGATACTACCTGGTACCCGTACTTTGCAGTCATTGTGGACACCTGATCCAAATGAAATCTTTTGACTCACCCCAAACAGTTTTCCTTGTTTGAAATCGGTCTTCTTCTTATCCTGATCTGCCTCCAAGAGAGCAACCTTTTCTCTTCTCTACAAAAAACATCATTGTGTGAAGACAGACAACAAAGAATGTTCATTATTCCTCAAAATCTTCTTCTCTACAACTGACAAAATATCTGTAAGTGGCATTTAGAAGAAGTATCAATGACAGTACTGACTTATGGATTTCAACTTCAATGCTGCAGGGAGGAATAAATTATTTTAAATCTCTTCAAATATTCAGTCACCTATCCAGTCAGACATTAACTTACAAAATGGGGTTTTCTTTCACACCTTACTTAACTCAATCAATTAAAGTGCAAGTCTCATGGATTTATACAATTTTGCAGGATTGGAAAGATTGCAACCTCATTAATGCAAATACTGTATTCAAAACATCGAAAGCAACGTGTTAATATGGCTTATTTGAACTCAAGTCCTATCAATTTCAAAGACCAAGAAGAAAATACAGAAGAAGTGATATAGAGGCTCCAAATAGGGTCATGTTGAAGGTTATTTCCTCCAATATCACACAATTAATCCCTTAACAAGCCTTCCCCTCTGTTCGGACCCTAGTTATCAAGCCTCCATTCATGGTCATAGTCGGCTGCACACATCCTCAGCAAAGCAAACCTATTCTTCACCCCTTGGAATTCTATCCACAATAAAACAATGACCATCTGCATACTGCACTTTGTATGAGTGAGATTAAAGGATTAAATATACTCCTTTTTCTTTCAACAACAGAAATGTAACAAAGGCCATCTATATCACAAATTGAGAACACTATTCAGTGAGAAAACGATGTGCGAAACATGCTATTTCTTCAATTGTGTTTGTGTTTCCGTTTCCGTACTTTCATTATTTGTTGCGAGACTTTTGTTTAAACCATTCGCTGATCTATGCATAAAATGATGAAGCATTGCTCGTACTTACTTCGTTCTTTTTTTTTGCAGTATCATGAGCTCAAATCAATCATAACCTGCCGATATCCAACTCTGACAGCGACAATAGTTTTCAAGTTACATGTATCGTGGAATATGAATATTTCTGGGTAAGAAGTACAAGTGAACCCCTACATGTTTGAACATGTGACCGACAGCGACAATAGTTTTCAAGTTACATGTATCGTGGAATATAAATATTTCTGGGTAAGAAGTACAAGTGAACCCCTACATGTTTGAACATGTGACCGACAATAGTGACGAAGATAACAAGGATGATCCCCATCTTGAAAGCATGGATCACAAGTGGTTCAAAAACAGACTGGTTCGTTTGTTTTGAAACAGCACTAGAGTGAGTGAGTGAGTGAGTACGGTTTTATGCCGCTTTTAGCAATATTCCAGCAATATCACGGGGGGGGGGGGGGGGGGGGGGGACACCAGAAACGGGCTTCACACATTGTACCCATGTCGGGAATCGAACCCGGGTCTTCGGCGTGACGAGCGAACGCTTAGGCTACCCGACCGCCCCTAAATAGCACTAGAAAGACTCCTGAGTCGGTGTTACACTATACATATGGCCGAGTGATTAATGATACCTGGACTGACTGCTGGCATACATTATGCAATAATCTACTCGAGGTGCATGCAGTTGTTGAGAGATGAGTTACTGTACGTGAGACAAACATTGTTCTAGTTAATTACCACTAATTGGCTACAAAGATCAGTCAGTGTTTATCCTTAAAACGGCACAGATTTTGGGGTGAGGAAGGACTAAGGTTGAAAAAGACAATATTTAACAATGTTTAAATTATATACCTGGGGGGTAATTCAAGTTAAACAAGTATTTGTCACAGAGTGACGAAATATCCCCCGCCTGTACACCATAGTACCAAATATGAAGACAATCCAGCGATTAGTTCTTGAGATATTGTGGCAACACCGTTTTCCAACTCCAAAAACAGATTTGCCTGCTGTGACCTTGAAAATGGGGTCAAGGTCACCAAATCTGACAGGTGTATGCGGTGTCTGTATATACACCATAGTGCCAAATATGAAGACAATCCAGCGATTAGTTCTTGAGATATCGCGGCAACACCGTTTTCTAACTCCAAAAGCAGATTTACCTGCTGTGACCTTGAAAATGGGGTCAAGGTCACCAAAACCGACTGGTGTCTGCGGAGTCTGTATATACACCATAGTTCCAAATATGAAGACAATCCAGTGTTTAGTTCTTGAGATATCGCGGCAACAAACAGGTGGGACGTACGGACGGACGTACGGACGGACGTACGTACGTACGTACGTACGTACGTACGGACGGTCGTGAATACTATATCCCCCGCTTCGCGCTTTCGCGCGGCGGGGGATAATTAAGGTTACCTGACACACACTCACAAGCCATACTCTTGACATAAAGGGAATCCATCCCAGTATTATATATACAACACAGGTCTACCTGCAACTAATGAAATGATCGCGTATATTCCGTACCTGACTGGTGGTAATACCCAATGAGCTTGCAGGCCGAGACGGCCATGCTAATTAGCCATGCCTCCTCGTTAGCACTTTAAAGATTCATTTGGGTTGTTACTTTTAGTGAAGAAATATGTACTTTTAATCAAGCACAACAGCGCTAAATTTCCATTTTAACACTGTCTTTCTCGGCCATCATATTGTACATCATACTGGCTATATAATGATGTAAGAAAAATTTATCACTATTTTCATGAGACTTGCACTTTATGTTATTCCAACAAAATGTAGCTTGCTAAGGATATTATGACTGTGAGATCGTTACAGAAGATCTTACTCAAAACATAATTACTGATGATATAATCACCGAGGATACCATTCCTGAAGATATCTTTACCAAGGATACCATCATTATCACTGTGGATATCAACTGAAGTTATTATTAAGGACATCATCATTGGGGATATCATTCCTGAAGGTATCGTTACTGTGAATAACTACAAAAAATATCTACTGAGGATATTATAGCAGTGGACATTATCCCACTTACCTTCCTCTCCTTCCATTTGAGGAAAGTTTCTAATGTAACTTTGGTCGTGTTGTGGCCTAGGGCGGCTCGCTGAAACACAGAATAGTACATGTTTCACTTGAACCAACAAATATGTCTGAAGTTTGGAAGAATCAGGTGACTCAGTACCAAAGTATTTAGTAAAACAGTTTCATGACATGTTCCTCATACACTACCTCCTTCTCAACCAGCTCCTCTATCGTAATTTTCTCCTTCTTTTCCTCCTTCTTCTGGTCTTTCTTTAACACAAAACCTGAAACACAAAGATGAGCTTGTTACCAAACCATCCAGTTACTGCCAAGACATTCTACAGCTGAGGAAGAGGGCATTACCTGGGGTGGGGGTGGGGCATAATCTAGGGAAGAGGCATTACCTGGAGGGGGGGAGGCATAATCTAGGGAAGAGGCATTACCTGGGGGCGAGGCATAATCTAGGGAAGGGGCATTACCTGGGGGTGAGGCATAATCTAGGGAAGGGGCATTACCTGGGGGCGAGGCATAATCTAGGGAAGGGGCATTACCTGGGGGCGAGGCATAATCTAGGGAAGGGGCATTACCTGGGGATAAGGCATAATCTGGGGAAGGGACGTTACCTGGGGGTGAGGCATAATCTGGGAAGGGGCATTACCTGGGGGTGAGGCATAATCTGGGGAAGGACATTACCTGGAGGTGAGGCATAATCTGGGAAGGGGCATTACCTGGGGGTGAGGCATAATCTGGGGAAGGACATTACCTGGAGGTGAGGCATAACCTGGGAAGGGGCATTACCTGGGGGTGAAGCCTAATCTGGGAAGGGGCATTAACTGGGGGTAAAGCTTCATCTGGGAAGGGGCATTTACCTGGAGGTGAGGAATTATCTGGAGGGACATTACCTGGGGGTATGGCATAATCTGGAAAGGTGAATTACCTGGGAGTGAAGCATAATCTGGGGGTACATTACCTGGGAGTGAAGCATAACCTGGGAAGGGGCATTACATGGGGGTGAGACATAATCTGGGAAGGGGCATAACATGGGGGTGAAGCCTAATCTGGGGAAGGGCATTACCTGGGGGTGAGGCCTAATCTGGGGAAGGACATTACCTGGGGGTGAGGCATAATCTCGGGAAGGACATTACCTGGAGGTGAGGTATAATCTGGGAAGGGGAATTACCTGGGGGTGAGGCATAATCTGGGGAAGGACATTACCTGTAGGTGAGGTTTAATCTGGGGAAGGACATTACCTGGAGGCGAGGCATAATCTGGGAAGGGGCATTACCTGGGGGTGAGGCGTAATCTGGGGAAGGACATTACCTGGGGGTGAGGCTTAATCTAGGGAAGGACATTACCTGGGGGTGAGGCATAATCTGGGAAGGGGCATTACCTGGGGGTGAGGCATAATCTGGGGAAGGACATTACCTGGAGGTGAGGCATAACCTGGGAAGGGGCATTACCTGGGGGTGAGGCATAATCTGGGAAGGGGCATTAACTGGGTTTAAAGCTTCATCTGGGAAGGGGCATTTACCTGGAGGTGAGGCATAATCTGGGGAAGGACATTACCTGGAGGTGAAGCATCATCTGAAGAAGAGGCATTACCTGGGGCGATGCATAATCTGGGAAGTGGCATTACCTGGGGGTAGGGCATGGCGGTACATGCAGTTGTCTCCACCATTGGGACAGGTCCAGAACCAGCCATATTTACTGTTTTCAACAGCCTCCAGGAAGAACTTGCATATCTGTCACAAAGTAGACACAGGTTTAACAGAGAGACACAGTAGAATAAGCAGTGTCACATGAGAGATTATGTTGGCAATGTTTAACATTGAAGACTTTCTGAGCTCAAACTTTGTGGGGAAGGGAAAATTAGAATATTACTTATCAGAATTGGATCTGTTAGGTTCATATTGTTTCATTGACGTTATTCAACAAAATATTGGCTGAACATACAATAGTAGTCCTGGTATTGAATCAAAATTAGGTCAGAAACTGTAGTCAACGTCATCCGCCCACCAGGCATTATTTCAAGTGTTCAGGGAACAGTGTGCTAAATAGTCTGATTGTGCTGGAGATTACTTTACTTGCACATACCTAAAAGCATTATCATGACAATTAAAATTGTTATTTTTCTTATACTAACCCAGGCACTGAAAGACAACTTACAATGGTAGTTTTGGTTAGGGATTCCTTTCCATGTTTTTTGTTGATAACTTCTTCAAGTTTGGCCTCATCCCAGTCAGCCATGTTGTCTGGAAGTAGCAAACATTACCGTGCTCCATAAATAGACTCAAGGTCACAGAGCATGGACACACCCACTTAGTGAGTGAGTGAGTGAGTATGGTTTTACCCTGCTTTTAGCAATATCACGGCAGGGGACACCAGAAATGGACTTCACACATTGTACCCATGTTAGGAATCGAACCCAGGTCTTTGGAGTGAAGAGCGAACAATTTAACAACTAAGCTACCCGACCGCCCCCAAACCCACTTAGGAGGGGTCAAATTAATCATTGCGACAAAGAACAAAAAATATTTGTGATAATTGTTTAGAACCATTTATCCAACATCAAGGTTTAATAGTTTCAGTTAGGTGAGCTGAACAAGACAAGTTGTTCACCATTTTAACATGTCTGATAATGTACATACATGTACCAATATTATTAAATTGTCCATAACATAAACATTTGACAAATGATAGTAGAAATTATAACACTGCTTCAAATTATTAAGGGAATGTTACCCTTACTGTCTGTGTCATAAACAACACATTAACCACTGGGCTACCAAGTAGAACATGTTCGGTAGTAAATGTTTTACTTACCCTCTTCAGCCCGAACATCTTCATAGAGATTTCTCTTCTCTCCCTTTCTATTGATGTTGAGGTCATGGGAGAACTTGCATTTGTCACCTTTTCCGCACTGTCCCTGCTTGAAAAATGCACACAGCACAGACTTAGGGTCCACACCTGTAACAAATATGCATTTCTTTTTTAAAAAGAGGACATGAATAACAATATACATGTAATAGCCTTTTCTTTCTTTTTTCACAAGTTATGGGCAATTTTCAACTTTCTCCTACTTGCAAAAAATGCTGAAATGAAGTCCTTGGGGACGCAAGGATATCATCAGATAAGAATGACACCATTTGCCTAGGAAACACAACTGACTAGTTTTGGGTATTAACAGGAGAAAAGTCAAGCAAAGTTAAAGTGGAAGTCTCCGGGGCAGGTACAATTTTGCAGAATTTGATGGATTGTAACATCACAAACGCAAATATCGTACTCAAAACATGCGGAGCATAAAGAAGGTTAATTTGCACTTTAATCCAGTCTATCAATTTCAAAGACTGAAATGAAAATAGAGGAGATGGCAACACAAAACGACACAAAAGTGGTAAAATCGTAAATATTTGACAGAGTATTGCTGACATCCATAAAAAGTTAATACCAAAATGTATTGGTCATTTCAGCAAGGATTGGGATTGATTTGTATGGAAAGAATGAGGTACTACTGGAATTTGGTGAAAAGATTGAAAAATTGCAAAAACACAACCATGTGAGAGCCTGGCGTCGAAACACACCAACATGACATGCACATGCAACATCACTTGTTGGGCAATAAAAACATTGGGTCTTCATTTGCATGACAACACAATCTTACAGCAAGTGAAGAGCAAAATATGCCACGACTAATGGAATCCCAAGGCTAAACGCCATCAGTCGACTGCAAACAGGAGAATCATCTTCAGCTGTAGGCAGGTCTTTCCATGCAGCACCGTTTAAGCACAGAAGGTATTCACGCTAGACAGCCGATTCAAGGTGTTATTTTGACGGACCTGCATTATCGACTGCAACGTGTCAAGGTCAATGAGTATGGCCACAACTGCGACAGAGACGTGTGGTTTAGTGATGAGTCACGTTTTATGATTCGCAATGGGGATGGTAGATGTCATGTTTACAGGCATTGCGGGGAACATTATGCATGAAACGGCTTACAGGAAGTGGACAGATTTGGTGGTGGTAGTTTAATGATGTGGGCAGCCATCTCCTTCACTGGCAGAACAGACTTGGTGCAAGTTTTATGGAATTTAACGGCACAACATTACCATGATTACACAAATGAGATTCTTAGGCCTTCCCATTATCCAACAAGCAAACATCATTTTCCAACAAGACGGCGTCAGACCTCACACAGGAAGACTGACAACAGCCTTTTTCAGGAATCACAATATACAGGTCCTCCCATGGCCCTCCAGGTCTCCAGATTTATACCCAATCAAACATTTATGGGATGCACTGGATTAACAACTGAGAGCACATCACAGTAGGCACAACCACTGATGGCAGAATGAGTGAACATTTCCCAGGCCTCACATCAGCATATGATTGCTTCCATGAGACAACGAAGCCAGTTAGTTTTTGACTCTAATGGTGGCCATACAAGACATTGAGAACAGATGACCTTCACTTGTAGCACTCTGGTAGAGCTGATTGCCATTGCAGGATATTTTTTACATGAACAATTTGACCAGTCACTGTAAGGACTTCCTGTGTTACATGTATTTCGATTGCAAAAACATTATGTTGACATATAATAGTCAAATAGCCACATATATTACTTTTAACAAGTCAAAGTATTGGAAATTTTAGGTTAAATTGTATATTTATATACCTATCTCACACTAGGCATATCTTCCTTGATCCTGTGTGGAAAGGTTCTTGAACCATGTTTCCAGCTTCTAAAACAATAACATTCACCCGAACACACCCCAGCATCTCTATGGTTACGACCAACAACTGGGTCAATGAAGTGCTCTTGTGCAGGGTAACCTTCCACATGGTAACCTTCATATCGCATACAAGATAGGATAAGTACATAAATATACAAATCATACAAAAATTTCAGAATTTTTAAACATATCCTATCTGACACTATGCATTTTATCCAACGGTTGGATGGTGGGCTGCAGATATCCTAGCCTGTGTAAACTACAACAGTGAGATACACACAAAGAAGCTGGATCAACTTGTGACTGGGAAAAAACGAATGACCAACCGGTGCTGACGAACCTGATACGTTAATCAAACAAACAGCATGAGATCGGGAATACATGGTGAACGTGTTTTCACGTATGTCGTCATTCATAGAACGCACAAGTAGCTGTAAATGCATAGCAAAACAGCCGACGACTTAAATTGATTAAGGACCAGTATCGATTCCCAAGGACAATAGGTGTGACTGTTCGGCATCTCTTTTAACGCTACGTCAAGGTTATGAAACACATTCGAGTCCATGAACCAAACCAGCTCGTGAAGAGGAACAATCGACAACATCCATAGAAAGGATCTTCGAACCAAAATCCTACATCACAAATACTCAAGGCAGAGGTGAGCAGAATAAAGGTTCGGGACACTGTTCTATGTTTAGGAACGTCTGCGCCTTATGGTGACTTCATTGTTGAAGACTACATGTTGAAGGTCTGGGAAACCCAAACAATCAAAAAAACATTCCACACCAAGGTTAACATTGAAAGACAATCGTAAAGCAAAGAAAGGGACATGTGTATATGATGTATTTATCTGAGTTTGCTGGGATATGACAGTCGTTGCGCCAGAAGCAAAGACCAAACTTGTAGAGACCCTGAATCTTGTATCGATTCTCTGTCTACTAAAGTTTGTTTCAAAGCGTCAACAGCGGTAATCTGACCGTGGTTGCTGTAAATAACGGGGAATTGTGCGATCTTCCAATCTGTGTGTGCGTGCGTGCGTGCGTGCGTTGTGTATCTTTTAACATGGTTAAAGGCCCTGTAAGTTCAAAATCAAACTTACCTGATTTCTAAATGTTTTATAGAGTAACTAAACTAAAAAAACACCTCTTCATTAAATGTATCTGGTATTTCCATAAGATAGGGTTTTCTTGGAAATGCAAGATCAATACTCAAACAGACAAATCAATTTTACACAAACTATACAATGAGCTGGAAAGTAAGCCTAACACAGTACAGTGATCCCCATCCTCAGCATGTGTCTACACACCTCGAGTGACTGTTTGAGCAACAGGTCTAAACAGAGCATTCAGTTCATCCAGTTCTTTCTTCTTGTCATCCTTCTTCTTGGCTCGTTCTGCCTCCTGTTGGGTCTGTGCCTGTTTCCATCAAAACAAAAAAGACATCAAAATGCAACACAAATAATCAAAAAACAATTATTTAGAGATAATCAGCGGATTATCTGTCCGTAATGAATGAATTGATTAAGTCCGGAACCTTTGGTGACAGACTTGCAGCCTTCATTCACAAGGGACAGATAATATATTTTAAGAAAAACATGAAGAAAAAACTATTAAATGTCAAACCTACAGGGAAACTTCACTGAAGACAACCTCTTGTTCAGACGACAAAATTAATTTGGGACTTTGTGAGCAATGGCTGACATCATATCATATTTGACCTAACAATGAAGCACTGTGACGTTAGATGGCTTCAAATCAGCATTGAGTACCGATAAAATGCATATGTGCAAATATCAGGATATTATTGCCCACAGTAATTCTACTCTAATGGGTAATAAAACATAACATATTACTTGCTCATCTGGTATTTCACTGAGACAACTAGAGGATGAAAGTACATTTAATACCTGTCAGAGAAAGAAAATACATTATGAAAAACAAATTTAGCTACATTCCAAATTTGTTTTGTCATAATGATCATGATGAAAATATTTAAGAGAAAGCAGAGCAATAACAAACAAATATTCAATCAAGAGTTTCAAGATCAAAAACATATCTTATAGGTACACAACTAAAATATATTAGATGCAGTAAAGTACTTTTAAGCACACTCCATCTACCTCCAGAAAAAGTTTTTTTCCAGTCTGTACCCACCTTGCTGGTTTTCTGGTTGCCAAACTTCACTTGTTTTTCTACTTGTGTAATAAACCTCTGCTGCTTTGCTCCTTTCTTGTTCTTTAACCCAAAAGTTTTATCCTGTGAAAAAGAAATTGAAATTTTATAATAAATTGTATATTTATATACTTATCCTATCTCATACTATAATTTGTTCCTTCTACTTTGAATCCTGGAGTGGAAACCATCTAAATCAAAGGTTACAGCTTAAAAAACATTACACCCGAACACATTCCAGCATCACCATGGTCACCAGACAAATGGGTTATGCACTGTAATCCTGTGCACTGCGACCCCAAACAGCATGTTGAAGACTTATGTCTCTACAGATGATTCTAGTTGCCCTCCAATGGGTACTCATTCTGGAAACCTGAATTGCAATAATAATAAACAAAGAATCAATCAAAATTCCAATATTTATTGCTGTATGTACAAGTTACGTTACACTATTCAGTCGAAGTATGTATGTTGTATCGTCATCTGCGCTGATGAACTGAAGTGCCAGTGTTCGTGTAAACACAGAAACCTGCTTTTTTCACGCATTAAAATCATATAAACATGCAAAAAATATTTTGCATGCATGTTTTGAACACACAGATTGTGATACATTTAATTTTGAATTAATACCATAAAATAAAAAAATATTCAAAGCTGTAGTCTGCTTACGATGTTCAGACGAAAATAAATCAAAACCTGGAAATTCCCATTGCTAAAAATAGAATGTGGCCAGATGGCGCTTTGAATCGCGTCCATTATTTTTCCATATATGGTCTTTGGGCAACGGAATAACTAATCTCAGACACAGGACGTCATTCGTTACTATTGATGGAATTCCACGGAAGTCGTTTGTTTCATCCAATCTGAGCCCAGCTTACAAGTAATAGTCGGTAATACGAACGATCATAAACAGAGCGACGGAAGAAAACCTCCACACATGGGCATGTGCTAACAACAGTCATATCTATTTTATTAATGATTGAAAGTTCATTATATCAAAACTGGACCGTAAGTTACAGCTTGGTCATAATTATTAGCTGTACTAGTACTGATTTTATTGAAATAAAAACTTCACACGCGAAAAATTTGAATTGAAAATTTATTATTTCATTTCTGCACGCACTGCACAAAAACCTACCGCGAACACTGGAAGTGCTGTGCAAGAACCAAAGGACCAAACTGATGAAGGCCTTGTGACTGAGTGAGTATGGTTTTACGCTGCTTTTAGCAATATTCCAGCAATATCACGGCGGGGGACACCAGAAATGGGCTTCACACATTGTAACCATGTCGGGAATCGAACCCGGGTCTTCAGTGTGACGAGTGAACGCTTTAACCACTAGGCTACCCGACTGCCCATGAGATATCACGTAGATACATGTAATGGGAAACGAAGCACCCTTCCATAATATTGGACAATGTGCAATTACTGTGCAATGACATCGTAGAGGCAACAGCTCTAGTCTCGTGCTGATTAGATGCCACTGGAGGAGGCAACACATAAAGATGTAGACTTGAACAAGTTGAACAATCGTCGAGCAGAGCCAGAAGGAAACCATATTATGGGAGACTTCAGTGTGGGCCGCTGTGGATAATGGGATAAAGAGTCTCTTCCAAGAACGATGTAGTGTCGCCAAAGCCTTCAGGCAGATGCGTAGAGCTCAAACCGGGCATAAGGAGATGTCTTCATGATCATTGTGCTGCAAAATCAAGGTAAGAGAAGGGATGGTGAACAGCCGATCTGGGTAGCCAGGGAGCCGATTCTTTCGCAATAAAATCCCAAAGCAGCCCAAGGAAGACTTTCCTGTGACGTTGCCTCGCAAAACCAACTCTGTTAACATCAAGAGCATGAAGTTCACTGACTCATGCAGCTGTTTCTGGAGCCAGTTGAAAATACTTCTTGAGGGTGACATGCTCAAAATCCGTTTCTTTTGGAGGCTCATAGATCTCTGAAGATAGATGCTGTAAAATGATGTTAAGGTCACAAACAGGTGGTACAACTGATCTGCGGGTCTATAGGCACAAAATAGAGCCTGCAACCAAGGAGATTTTCAAGCCTGTTGTTGTGGCAATTAAAACTTTGAGCTTCCATGTAGAACATAAGTGCTGCAAATACTCCAACTTTCACTCCAAGAGAAGATCACTTCGCAATGGTAGATGATGGTACCTTCGATCCACGATGTTTACCAGTATAGTGAACCAACTCCTCGCTTGGCGTGACCAAATGCAGTCAATGATTGGTGGCCGCTGCCTTCTGCCGAACCTGACATAGAAGTCTTATCAGGGATAAGCGTATGTGTTGAGACCTTCCCAAGAGATAGCTAGAGCACCGTGACCCCGAGCCTTTGGGTCCGGGATGAGTGATTTGAATCTCGGCAACTGTGTGTTGAATCGGGTTGCGAAGAGGTTGAAGTCTGGGTCTGGAAAGAGTTGGTATATCCAGTGAAGAGAGATCATTGGTGGTCATCTTTATTCATTGTAACTGCCCTGTTAATGGTGTATATGTCAGTGGAACACCACACTCAGCAATATACCAGCTATATCATGGCTACCTGTCATCATATCTGAGTGTCCAGTCAGGACCTGACAATCCAGATTAATATTATGAGCAACTATAAACATCGATGGGGTAAGATGACGCACAATCAACCATATCGGCATGTAAAATAACCCAATGTATAATTATACATAAATATTATTTCTAGTACACATAATTAGAGGAATCAGCAGCAGAACATAATTACTATTTGCAGTAGTTTTCAACAAAGTATCACACCTGAGTAGCCTTGTTCAGAATGTACGAGAACAATTGTCATTCAAATCGGGTCTTAGTGCTCGCTACCACTAAATAAAGATCTATGGACATCCCCTTCTAAGTCATGTAGAGAACGATACTGACCAACCAAAGAAATGACCAGTCTGGCCTGTAACTGTCCACAATACCATTTGTTTACCTTTCCATGGTTGCAGGATTAAAAAGACACATTCTGATTGCCGTTTTCCCGTGACCTGTAACAGGTTGTCCTCAGATTTTTGTTTAGCAGTAGTGAGAACTGAGATCTGATTTTAACGATATTGTAAGAGAATTGGACTGAGAGGAGTATGTTTTATGTCAAACAGCAACCCCAAATAAATAAAATGGGTATCCAAGCCTGACAGCTAAACTGTTATCACACTTATTCCATAATGTTTTCACAAATATACACAACAAATATCTAAGCTCAGACATAGTCTTTAAGCAGGTCTACAAGCATGAAAAGAGATTTTGACAAAACATAATAAGACTGATACCAACATTTACTTTATTTGTTCCTACTGGTAATTAGCATGATTAGTCAAAATGGCAATTAAGCAATTACTTAAAGTGTAAACTGCTAAATATGTGCAAAAATGTATTAATCTAAATACAGCTCTTGATCACATTCAAAATCATAAAAATCAAGATGATTCAGTGTTTGAAATAACTGTCTGTCTGTATGCCAGTGGCAGGTAGATCTCGTTTCAGGTCTATAGTTTCAAGTTTGTATGGGTCCTTACGACCTGCAGTTAATATATACAGGTTGGTATATTTGTCACAGTAAGCTGCAATTTTAAAAAAAAGGGCCTGAAGAGTTTAGTTAGGGCCTGCAGCCTCTAAAATCTGTGGGTCCTAATCATGCTAATGGCAGCATTAGCACTAACCATCATGATGATCAAGAGAAGACTTTATATTTAATATGGCAAAATAAAACAGATTCCAGAATCAGTTATCCTAGCTTGATATGTGGATTCATAAGTCTGATGGACTGACGTTCCATGCCATAACAAAACCTCAAGCCTTTTTGCGTGTTTAGTCCAATTCATTTTGATGCCACATTGATTGTTGCCACTTAAACATCATACTACTGGTCCTAGTGCATTGAATGTAGCCAAATAACCTTCTAAATGTAACATACGTATTTATACAGATCGTTGTTTCAAATCACCTGTGATACTTCACATTCTTTAGTTCTTGGTTATCTGTCATTTAGCCTAACGTTAACAGTAACACTAACATTCCTAAATCAGTGTGGGTGTTCGTTCGTAAACATTACATTACAAAAGAGTGTTTCCACTTATTAATGTCTTGTGTATTTGAGCTGTATACCTTTCTTTCTGTCAGTTAAGAGCTTAATTTAATTTGCTTGACTACCGGTATATCAGTTTGGAGACCTTAGATTCTATCTTTTAGTCCTATGTTCTTATCATGCAAGCGTTATTTTATTTCATGATGTAAATATAATAATAGAGCGCAATCACCGCACTAATTAATAAAATAGCCCGACAGTGAAAGATCCCCACAAATAGATCAAACAATAAGTACTTAAAGTGATGTTATATCGGCATATTTTACATGGCACGCGAAAACTGGGGGGCTGTAATAACGCGGTGTGATGACCAGTAGCATTCAGGAATACCTCTATAACTTTTTCCTTCTTTTTCTGTTCAGTTTTTTTGCTTGGACCATCTGGTTTCTTCTTCGGTGGCATCTTGGTCAGTGTATGATTTACTTACTCACAAATGTGTTAAATATATGTTAGAAATGTATAGCACGCTGTTGCGCCACCAGGCAGCAATGGCCGACAGGTAAAGATAATCTTCACAACACGAAGTTTCGCATCCACTCGTTTATCCAGAGTTAAACTCAGGGCTCTATAACCGAGTTGATATTCTTGTCTCAAATTCGCACACGTTCAATTTAGCATTAGCAGTTGGGTCAAATTAACAACAACAACAAAAATAAATAAAATTATAAACAGGCACACTTATTACAGACAAAACATTGATAAGTTGACACGTCCTGACACAACTATGGGATGGACTAGTGGGGGCGTTGGGTGTGTGTGTAAGTGTGTGTGACGCCGCACTCAGTAATATTCCATTTTTATGACGGCGGTCTGTATAAATAATCGAGTGATGACCAGACAATCCAGTGATTGATATCATGAGCATAGGTCCACGCAATTTGGATACGATGACATGCATCAACCAAGTCAGCGAGCCTGACCACCCGATACCGTTAGTCGCCACTTACGACAAGCAGTCGCCTTATGGCAAGCATGGGTTGCTGAAGACCTATTCAATCCCGGATCTTCACGGGTAGGTGTGGGTGTGGGTGTGGGTGTGGGTGTAGGTGTGGGATTTGGAAAGAAAACAACCCACAGCTCATAAAACAAATTCAGCCTCAATCAGCTTGAAAAAAAATTTCATCCCCCAAAAAGTCTCGACCGCAATATGGCCATCCTCGATACAGAGTATTTCGTGAGCAAAACCATAATCTTTGACATCCAAACATGATCATGGCAGAAAAAGAGGCTGTAACACTTATTTATTAATAATCATTTCAAATCTTCCATTTCAAGATGCCATACCATGCAAGTCACTGTGTCGTATCCTTGGACAAGGCTAAGACAGGTATAGATATATCTATATCTATATAAGTCTTTGGACAAGGTTATTGACTCCACTTGTCCCGTGTGATATGACTGAAACAGTCGTTGACAGTGGTGTGAAATGCCAAATAAGCATCATTTACCCTTACTTGAAAAAATACGACATATACATACTTGCATTGTCAAAAACATGAAAAATATATCAACATCATTACAAGTTATGCCATGAATGAGAACAAAATAGAAGGTATTGTGACCCTGTCTAGAGGATGGGGTTAGATGTTCAGTATTCGATCAACCATCAAGACTGAAATCGGTAAATTAAACTTCTTTTGATTCTTCATAATGTCACAATTGTCAGTCAGTATTGTTTATGCCCACCACTGATGCACGCCCCAACCCGACCATGACATGTGATAGGTCTCATCACATAATATCGGATTCAACACCACTCTTCTCAGAGCGCCACTGACTTGGCAACAGATGCTACACTGCAGGACCAATGGTGCCGCATTGATTTGGCTGCAGATGCTGCATTGCAGGACCAATGGTGCTGCATTGACTTGGCTGCAGATGCTGCATTGCAGGACAACTGATGCCACAGTGACTTGGCTGAAGATGCTGCATTGCAGGACTACTGGTGCTACAGTGACTTGGCTACAGATGCTACATTGCAGGACCAATGGTGCCACAGTGACTTGGCTACAGATGCTGCATTGCAGGACCAATGGTGCCGCATTGACTTGGCTACAGATGCTGCATTGCAGGACCAATGATGCCGCATTGACTTGGCTACAGATGCTGCATTGCAGGACCAATGATGCCGCATTGACTTGGCTACAGATGCTGCATTGCAGGACCAATGGTGCCGCATTGACTTGGCTACAGATGCTGCATTGCAGGACCAATGGTGCCGCATTGACTTGGCTACAGATGCTGCATTGCAGGACCAATGGTGCCGCATTGACTTGGCTACAGATGCTGCATTGCAGGACCTATGGTGCCGCATTGACTTGGCTACAGATGCTACATTGCAGGATGAAAGGTGCCGCATCGACTAGGCTACAGGTGCAGATGCTGCCAACCCCCGTGCGATATCTTGAAGGCAGCAATGTTCTCCTTGTCGGAGGATGACACAAATTCTTCCATGTGCTTGGAAAAGCTTAAATCTTCTCCCTTATGTGAACAAGACTCGTTGCCAGTTTCAGCGACTGACAGGATGACTGTCTCAGCTGATGAAGTCACAGTGATAATATCATTCTTCTATGGAGGATGCGCATGTAACGTTTCTTGGGTGCTGTCATATACATAGTATGATAAATAATAAAATAGAGATATTACCACCGGATAACTGAGGATGATATCAGGATGTTTGGTTTGTTTTACGAGTCTGGTGGTTTCTTCTGATGTCAATCTTCTGGGAATCGGGATGTACAGTATCTCCTCTATTAGACGCCAGGTGGTCCAATACACGCCGGCCTATAATTGATAACCATACGCCCTGTCAATGAAATAGAAACCGGGCCTCTATTAGACGACGGGTCCATCAATTGATGAAATTCATAAACTTACAACGTGTAAATATTACTCCCTCCACTTAATAATGACCGTATCCTGCTAATCTATACCCTTTGTATGACGGTACAACTTGGGATTCGGTAAGGTAGTGAATTGCCAATGTGATCGCATTAACAGAACAGATGCTGCATGGGTCAACGGGTTGCGCGAAATTAATGGTCACCCGGGCGTCTGGTTGTTGAAATACAGTATTATTCTTAATTACTGAGATTTATTTTAAGTTTTGACGGATAGAACATAACATCATTCTGTAAAAAATATATTATTTTTTGCCATTTTCATGCCATTTTCGGTCGCTTAATCAGTAAACAAAGAAAAAGAAAACTATTTTCTTGAAGACGATTCACAACATATTACATCAACAATGTACCATAAGTTGTATACATAGTTTAGATAGTGTATATTCACTCTGAGATTACATGTAAATAAACTGACGTCCAAAAGAAACTTTACCAACTGAAAATATAAATTTCAGACAAAGTATAAATTTTTTTTCGATGAAGTCTATCCAAAACACATAACCTTAATACAACAATAGTATATGCAGAAAATGTTAATCGTCTGTTACATGTTTGCGAGATAACACGTGAAAAACACGTGCACCACGGACAACTGCAAATGCACGTGCGGGTAAGGGTATAAAACGATTGCAACGGCAAGTCAGACATCCACAGTGATAAAAAAAAACACAAAAGAAGTGCCACGACTCACAGTAGAACATCGTGAACGAGCCTTGGGTATGGTACAGATGGGAGCCACCCACGCCCATATTTCATGAACCTTCGGTTGCTCCCGTGTTGCCGTTACCAACTTGATGCAACGTTACAGACAGACAGGGCGGACCGCTGACAGGCCAAGAACAGGCAGACCCAGGGTGACCACGCCCCATGATGACCGGTACTTGCAACACGGGAGCAACCGAAGTAACCCTCCTTACATTAAAGATAACTATTTAAAGAATATAGTACTTAAAGACATTGCAACAAACCGAATAATCAGGGGGAAGACTTTATACTGAGGGGGGCGCGAAATATATCCGCCCGGGGGAGATTTTATTTCAGAACAGGTTCTCCGGGGGAGAATCTGTACCGGTTTAAAATCTCCGGGGGGAGAATTTGTACGGGGGAGGGTTTATACCGGGACACCGGCTGTTTTCAATCGCATAGTGCGCCGCCCCTGCCCCACCTGTATCAAGTTGTTACACCACCCCTCTTTTAGGGCATGTCACTCGCCTTACACCAGGCATCGGGTTTGCCAATTAATTTGTTACGATAAAACATTTGATCAGAAGAATGACCAAATAGTATGTTGTAATTTTCAATTACATAATCTTTACACCACTTTAAATGAAGCACAGGTACTTTTTCCCGGTAGTATAAAATGGTGGATGAGGCGTATGCCTTATATAAACTGACGTCCAAAAGAAACTTTACCAGAGTTTGAAATCACTCTTGCTCTAAAACAACAAAACATACATGCATGAAGTAAAGTGTATTGAGAAAATCAATATATCAACATAATCAACACTGAAAATGACAATCATAACGCGACCGAGAATGACGTCAGAGCCCCCCCCCCCCCCCCCCCCCCCCCCCCCCAAAGTTGGGTGTGGTACAAAACTCGAGCTTTCAGAATCATGGACAATAGGCAGAGTACATAAACAATCACTCACGTTCAATAACAAGTCATTAGTAGCGTGTGTGACCACCAAATGCCTCAATACACGCAAAAACTCTTCGACGCACAGAAAAAGTCAGTCGTCTGATGAGGTCACGTGGGATATGACGCCATTCTTCTTGGAGGGCCAAGATCAGTTCTTGCCGGTTGGCTGGAGAGTGTGGTCGTTGTCGAACACGACGATCCATCAAGTCCCAGAGGTGTTCTATAGGGGACATGTCGGGTGAGCGTGCAGGCCACGGCAGGACGTTGACGTTGTTGGCTGCGAGGAAGTTAGTGACAATTCTGGCTGTATGGGCTCTAGCGTTGTCATGCTGATAAATGACACCACGTGGCTGCTGTTGGAGAAATGGTAGGACAACTGGACGAAGAATGTTATCCATGTAACCCTGAGCTGTCAAGTTTCCGTCAACGATGACCAGCGGTGTCCTCTCCTGCCCACAGATCCCTCCCCACACCATGACACTCCCTCCACCATATGGTACGACCTCCTGCACGCAACACGCCGCCGTTCGTTCACCCCATCGGCGGTAAACACGTTGTCTTCCATCAGCCCTAAACATACAGAATCGACTTTCGTCAGTGAAGACAACCCTCTGCCAGTCACGTCGTTGCCAACGTCGTACAGCCCGGGCCTTTCTCAATCGCAGACGACGATGTTGCGCTGTCAATAGCTGTCCTTTGTATGGTCTAAAAGCCCTGATTCCATGAGCCCTGAGTCTCCTGGCCACTGTCTGTCGACTAACCCTGTGACCTAAGGCATTTGTCGCCGATGACGTCACTGTCAGGAAGCGATTTCGGAGGTGCATGGTACGCAAGTACCGGTCATCATGGGGCGTGGTCACCCTGGGTCTGCCTGTTCTTGGCCTGTCAGCGGTCCGCCCTGTCTGTCTGTAACGTTGCATCAAGTTGGTAACGGCAACACGGGAGCAACCGAAGGTTCG